CATCAAGCAATCAATCCATATTTTCTACAAGACTGCTATTATCTCACTTCTCCAGCCTCCGCCAGAAACTTTTGAGCTTTTTGATGACATTATCCTTCTCTCAGAGGGGCGAATTGTCTATCAGGGCCCACGTGAATATGTTCTTGAGTTCTTTGAATCCATGGGATTTAAATGTCCTGAGAGAAAAGGCATTGCAGACTACCTGCAGGAAGTAAGCACATTGAAACGATTTTATAATTATTGTGTGATGTAAAACAAACAAAACTATATCATATCACGTACCAAAGTTTTCAATAATCAAATAATCTAGAATTAAGTCCAGTGAGATTTGAAACCAATCCATATTTCCTGTATTCTCTTCCATACTGTAGGTTACATCAAGGAAGGATCAGAGACAGTATTGGTTTCATGAAGAATTACCGTATCGGTTTATAGAAGTCAATGAGTTTGCAGAAGCTTTCAAGTCGTTTCATATTGGATTAGACATACAGCGCCAACTTGCCAATCCATTTGACAGGTCAAAGAGTCATCCTGCAGCTTTGACAAAAACCAGATATGGAGCTAGTAAAAAAGAATTGATGAAAGCCTGTTTATCAAGAGAAGTTATTTTGCTGAAAAGAAATGCATTCTTGCATGTTTTCAAGATGTTTCAGGTAAGTAGCATTGTTCTTTCATCAACCTTTGTAACAGAATGGTTACACCAAAATTCATAACTTCTACTTTTTTGTTTCAGCTTGAACTCAGTGCGGTCATTGTTGCTACTGTCTTTGTGCAAGCTAGAAAGCATCACAGTACAATTGAAGATGGATCAATCTACCTAGGCGCTCTCTTTTTTGTGCTTAACACAATTACCTTCACTGGGTTTTTTGAGCTTCCTTTGACCATCGATAAGCTTCCAATATTTTACAAGCAAAGAGACCTCCTCTTTTATCCTTCATGGGCATTCTCATTACCAACATCAGTTCTTGGCATTCCTATATCAATATTTGAAGTTGCTCTTTGGGTTGCCATAACTTACTATGTAATAGGATTTGATCCCAACGTTACAAGGTCAGTATCAAAGAACAAGTTACTATATATCACCTTCTTTTTTCTTCTGGTATTCACTATCTTAACCATGCTTGATTTTCTTGCTTTAGGATGCTCCAACAATATCTTGTTCTTGTATTAAGTGGACAGATGTCTTACGCACTTTTTAGATGCATCGCTGCTTTGGCTAGAGATCATACTGTTGCCAACACAGCTGGATGCCTTGCAGTGATGTGGCTTTTAATGTTTAGTGGATTTATCCTATCACGAGGTATTCTCAGGCCTTGGATTTTTCTATGTGAAATATGAAATATTGAGAGGCATAGTTGCTTAGCACTCTAGCATCACTAATGTGCCCCTTCATTCTCACAGAGAATATGCAGAAATGGTTGATCTGGGGATATTGGACATCTCCTCTGATGTACGTGCAGACTGCAATTTCAGTAAATGAATTCCATGGTGGAGCCTGGAACAAAGTAAGTGTCCCATAAAAAGGTGGGGAAACACAAGTTTAGAGGACCTTGCTTCTGTCGTAGTTTGAGCTTGAAAGCATATAAGTTTGAATGTGGAAATGAATGCAGGCTCTTAATGGAACAAATGAATCTCTGGGAGTAGCAGTCTTGAAATCGCGTGGGGTGTTCACCAGTCCAAATTGGTATTGGATTGGTCTTGTTGCATTGGTTGGCTTTATATTCCTTTTTAATGGGATCTGTACTCTGGCTTTTGCTTACCTTGATCGTAAGTACTCCCACTTTCAACAATTAATACTTCACTTTTTTCCCTAGCGCTTTGCTGTTTTCAATAATTTTTTTTTGCAGATATAACTGTTTAAATTCCTGCAGAATATGGAAAATCCCAGGCAGTGTTTTTGTCTGAAGAATCTGCTGAAGAGGACACTATCAGGACAGGTAAAGTTGAGGGCAATGGAATATTATTAAAGAAAAATAACTCCAAGGCTAAGAGGGCGTCCAGAAGTAAGCCGCTGAGCTTTCATTATCTGTATTGCCTCAGTGACAAGTACCAAACATAATCTCTGACAATGCATGCACTTGCAGGAGTTGTGGCAGTTCATAATTATCAGGAGAGAGGATTGCTTCTTCCTTTTACTCCACTTTCTGTTACCTTCGAGAATATCACGTACTCAGTGGATATGCCAAAGGTAACTGTAATTCTAGATTAACTATATATATAAACAATGCTTGAGAAATTTTGAATTTATCACAGTGACATGAGGTTGCTATATTTTTAGGGAATGAAACCCCAAGGTGCCTTGGATGATCGATTGGTACTATTAAATGGAGTGAGTGGAGCATTCAGGCCAGGAGTTTTAACAGCACTGATGGGTGTTAGTGGGGCTGGTAAGACTACGCTACTGGATGTGTTAGCTGGGAGGAAGAATAATGGATATATAGAAGGAAACATCACTGTTTCAGGCTACCAAAAGAAACAGGATACTTTTGCTAGAGTTACTGGATACTGTGAACAAAATGACATTCACTCTCCTCTTGTCACTGTCTATGAATCTTTACTATACTCAGCATGGCTTCGGTTGCCTGCTGAGGTTGATCCTGAAAGTAGAGAGGTTGGTGGTCCACTAAACAAATCTAATCCAAATAAGAGCCTTATTGTAATCTGTTTTATGTCTTTAATTTATTTGAAATCTTATTGTTGCAGCTTTTTATAGAGGAGGTTATGGAACTGATTGAGTTGAAGCCGCTAAGAGATGCATTGGTTGGAATTCCAAATGTGAATGGACTATCCATTGAGCAGCGCAAAAGGTTGACTATCGCAGTTGAGCTTGTTGCAAACCCCTCAATAATTTTCTTGGATGAGCCAACCTCAGGTCTTGATGCAAGAGCAGCAGCCATTGTGATGAGAACCGTGAGAAACACTGTGGACACAGGAAGAACTGTGGTATGCACAATTCACCAGCCAAGTATCGACATATTTGAATCTTTTGATGAGGTAAGAGAATTTAGCAACTACTCTTATGTCTTTTGAGCAATCTCTACTGCCTAGAAATCTCAAATGTCTTTTCTTTCCGGCTATAGCTGTTACTATTGACGCGTGGAGGTGAAGAAATATATTTCGGTCCTCTAGGCCATCAGTCAGGCCATTTGATCAAGTATTTTGAGGTAAACCAAAAATGTGTTAGTTGTTTCATTTACCACTGTTGCTTTAAAATGTCTTCAATCCTTCATCAGGAGAAACTCATTAGATTCCTCTTCTTTAACTACTCTATTTGAAGGAAATCAATGGAATAAGCAAAATTAAAGTTGGTTATAACCCTGCAACTTGGGTGTTGGAAGTAACAACACGAGCTCAGGAAGAGATTCTAGGAGTTAAATTCGCAGACGAGTATAAGAAATCAGATCTTTACAGGTTAATCATCTGATAAATAATGCGGCATTTTCTTTCATCCAAAAAATGTGGTCATAGCCTTTGCTACTTCTTAAACTTACGCTCAAAACTATTATTGCAGAAAAAACAAGGCCTTGATTTCAGAGTTGAGCACACCTCCTCCTGATTCACAGGATCTCCATTTCTCTACTAAGTATGCACAATCCTACTTCACACAGTTCAAAGCTTGCATATGGAAACAGCACAAATCATATTGGCGCAATACACCTTACAATTCAGTGAGACTTTATTTTAGTACAGCAATGAGCATTATATTTGGAGTCTTATTCTGGAATCTTGGAAGCAAAAGGTAAATGGTTTAGGCAGAATCCATAATATCAAGCTCTATTCATTTTTTTTTTTCAAATAAAACATACAAATTTGAACCTACAGGAGAACAAAACAGGATATTTTCAATGCAATGGGTGCCATGTACACTGCAATTAATTTCATGGGAACACAGAGCGCTGCTTCTGTGCGACCAGTTATAATAGCTGAAAGAACAGTGTTTTACAGAGAGAGGGCTGCTGGAATGTACTCTGCATTACCTTATGCCTTTGCACAGGTAGTTATTCAACATAATCTTTCCATTGCTTTGCCTCCTGACTTTCTGACCAAGGCCTCACCTTAAATTCTTTGTCTTCAATTTCCAATTTTCAGGTTGCTATTGAAATTCCATACACTATAGCTCAGGTTGCTATATATGGGGTTGTAGTCTATGCAATGATGGGTTTTCAATGGACAGTTTCCAAGTTCTTCTTAAACACATTCTTCATGTTCATCACAGTTCTCCTCTTCATATACTATGGAATCATGATCGTGGCTGTAAGTCCTAATCAAGCAGCCGCTGCAGTACTTTCTGGGATCTTCTATACAATGTGGAATCTCTTCTCAGGCTTCATAATTCCCCGACCGGTAACTATAATTCCATCCCTTTCTTCTAATATCTTTCCAAGAGTTTTCTTCAGTTTATATGATTCCCAGGATTTTACAACTTGTAGAGGATAATTGTATGGTGGAGATGGTATGCTTGGGTGTGCCCGGTGTCATGGAGCTTGTGGGGAATGGCTACTTCACAGTATGGAGACTTGCAGACCAAGTTAGAGTCAGGAGAAACTGTGGCTCAGTTCATGGACGACTACTTTGGGTTTAGACATGATTGGTTATGGATAGTCTCTCTAGTGCTAATCGGGTTCACTTTGCTGTTTGCTTCCGTGTTTGCTTTCTCCATGAAATTCTTGAACTTCCAAAAGAGATGACAATTTCTTTTGAACTTCCGAAAGGGTGATAATACAAGTCCATAAAATGTTTTTGAGTCGATGAATGTCTAAATCATAATTCTATATAATTTGTTTAATTCAAAATGATGGCTGAGTATTAACTTATTACTGAAACTGATTACTGTATATTTTCAATTTCAATTATATGAATATGGTCATATACATTATAAAAAAAAAGTCAAATTGGCTCCCCCAAGTGGGTTGTGGGCCCCAGGATCAATTGCATCACAATTTTGCTGATAAACTTATCTTTTTCTCGTTTTTCTTTTATCCTGAAACGAAAGAGTCGTTGATTTCTAATGACGAAACCATCCTTCCCGCTTTCCCTGATAATAATCATATCCTCCTCTCTGCTTCTTCTTTGCTTCATGCATGGCTTCCCTTCCTTTTATAACCCCACAATTCTCCCATTTCAAGTCGAAAAAACCAATCAAATCTCTCAATTCCAATGAACCAATCCATCTTGTAGAACTCAATAGAACCGCCAGAAACCATCAAACTTTATATAAATCCTACTTTCACACCATATCTTCACTTTGCAAAGATGGCCAAATTCAGCACGCTGTGGACTTGCTTACTGAAATGGACTCCAGAAATCTGTCAGTTGGACCTGAAATATACGGTGAAATCCTCCAGGGTTGCGTTTATGAACGAGATCTTTCAACAGGTCAGCAAATTCATGCTCAAGTTCTCAAAAATGGTGCTTTCTTTGCAAGAAATCAGTATATTGAGACAAAGTTAGTTATTTTTTATGCAAAGTGTGGTGCTTTCGACGTTGCTAATAATTTGTTTAGTAGATTGAGGGTAAAGAATGTGTTTTCTTGGGCTGCCATTATAGGATTGAAGTGTAGAATTGGGTTGAATGAAGAGGCTTTAAAGGGGTTTTCTGAGATGCAAGAAAATGGGTTTTTGCCAGATAATTTTGTGGTCCCTAATGCATTGAAAGCTTGTGGTGCTTTGCAGTACGTTGGATATGGGAAAGGGATTCACGGGTACGTGGTGAAGGTGGGTTTTGACAGGTGTGTCTTTGTTTCAAGTAGTTTGATTGATATGTATGGGAAGTGTGGGGTTTTGGAGGATGCAAGGAAAGCCTTTGATGGGATGGATCAGAGGAATGTAATAGCTTGGAATTCGATGATCGTTGGGTATATGCAAAATGGGATGAATAAGCAAGCAATTGGGGTGTTCTATGATATGAAAGTGGAAGGTGTTGTGCCCACTCAGGTATCAATATCGAGCTTTTTATCAGCTTCGGCTAACTTAGGTGCAATAGATGAGGGAAAGCAGGGGCATGCCATTGCTATCACAGGTGGATTAAATTTGGATAACATTTTGGGTAGTTCTGTTATAAATTTTTATTCCAAGGTTGGTTTGATCCAGGATGCACAGCTAGTTTTTGATAGGATGCTTGTAAAGGATGTAGTGACATGGAATTTGATCATTTCTAGTTATGTACAATCTGGATTGATTAAAAAGGCACTCAATACGTGTCATCTGATGAGATTAGAAAATTTGAGATTCGATTGTGTGACTCTATCATCTATATTAACTGCTGCTGCCAATTCAAGCAATATAAAACTTGGTAAAGAGGGTCACTGTTATTGTATTAGGAACAGTCTTCAATCTGATGTGGTTGTTGCGAGTAGCATTGTAGATATGTATGCCAAATGTGGAAGAATTGATTGTGCCAGACAAGTATTTAGTTCCACAACCAAAAAAGATATCATATTTTGGAATACACTATTGGCTGCTTATGCAGATGTTGGCCATAGTGGTGAGGCCTTGAAGTTGTTTTATCAGATGGAGTTAGAGAGTGTGCCACCAAATGTAACATCGTGGAATTCTGTGATTTTAGGATTTGTTAGAAATCACCAGTTAAACAAGGCTAAAGAGTTCTTCTCACAGATGCAATCCCTTGGCGTCTGCCCTAACCTTGTAACCTTGACTACTCTTATCACTGGTCTGGCTCATAACGGTTTTGATGATGAGGCAATTCAGATTTTTCAAAAGATGCAAGAATTTGGGATCAAACCCAATACTATAAGCATCAGTAGTGCACTTTCTGCTTGCACAAATGTGACATCATTACAGCATGGAAGAGCAATCCATGGATATGCAATAAGGCATGACCTTGACTCACAGATTTGCGTTTCAACAGCTTTAGTTGATATGTATGCTAAATGTGGATATTTAAGTCAAGCAAAAAGGGTGTTTGATAATATCTTAAGCAAGGAATTGCCTGTTTATAATGCAATGATTTCTGCTTATGCATTACATGGTCAAGCTAGAGAAGCTCTTGCAGTATATAAACATCTAGAGGAGGTTGGTGTAGAACCAGATGGTATAACTTTTACCAGTGTCTTATCTGCTTGCAGCCACACCGGACTGGTAAATGAAGGTTTGGAGATTTTTGTTGATATGGTTTCCAAACATCATTTATGGCCAAGCATGGAGCATTATGGATGTGTAGTTAGTCTTCTTTCTCGGTCAGGTCATTTGAATGAAGCTTTTAGGCTTATTCTCACAATGCCATATGAACCAGATGCACATATAATTGGATCACTTCTTGCTGCATGTGGAGAGCATAATGAGATTGAACTTGGGGAGCAGTTATCCAAGTATTTATTAGAATTGGAACCGGATAATTCAGGTAATTATGTGGCAATTTCAAATGCATATGCTGCTGCAGGAAGGTGGGATGAAGTATCAGAAATAAGGGATTTAATGAAGGAAAAAGGCTTAAAGAAGAGTCCTGGGTGCAGCTGGATTCAAATTGGTGAAAAACTTCATTCTTTTATTGCTGGTGATGGACCGCACTCCAATACTGAGGAAATACAAGCCACACTGGCTTTATTGGGAATCAATGTGAATTTCAGTGCTTAAACTCTTTTCTTGAGCTCTAATCAGATTAGTAGATAAAAATTAAATGCTCCAAGGAGACTTAATAGAGGGTCAGGTTAAGTGAAAAGAAGCAAACAACTAACGGTTGCTTTTGTTTCACAGAAAGAATTGTGCAGAATGTTCAGCCTGTAATGTGTCACAGATGACTTGATGAGGATTCATCTGAGTTACCTGGCTGGATAAGCTGTTGAAAGGATGGAGAATACACCCTGACTCAGCTCGATCTGGATAGCTACTTGCACAATACTCGCGGTGGTTCTGTTCATATTTAGCAAAACACAGTAAATTGAATCATATAGCGGTCAGCAGCTATATACTTAATTCAGTTTATGGCTTTCCATTAAAGGAGGACATGCAAAAATGGCATAAATTGAAATCAAAACCAAAAAAAATTTTCAAGACATTTTTCATGGCAGGATTATTGCAATTATACAGAACATTATCAGGATTTTGGATCCTTCTAACGTTTGCATTTGTGTAGTTGACGATCTTACCAGGTTATATAATTGGTCAATATTGCAGTAAGGTGCCAAGCGTTTATGTGGATGTCATATCAGTTTACCACACCAAGGTCTCCGGTTCGAGTCAAAGGGATGCCATTTACTAACAGTCATACGAATTATCAAAGTGTTAGATTTTTAATTTCAATGATTAAATAATCTTAAATAAAAAAAAAAGTAATAATAATAACAATCTATGAATATTGTATTACATATCCCAAATTTCAACCTAAAAGGGATTAGTATACGTTTTGAGACTACAGAATTGATATATGAATGCTTTAGGACGATTGCTCCCCAAACTACGATTTTCCCGTTGATCTCCTTAACAAGCATATGCATTGTGTAAATTGATATTCAACCTTTTTGAGCTATTTTCTTCATATTTTTCCATTTTTTTTTGTAACGAACCTTTATTTTCATGTACATGTTGAGATTTTTTAAAATAGGAATAAATTTCATAATAAGATCAGTATGAAATAAATCACATGTAAGAGGTAATATTTGATGTGATTCGACTTATTTATTTACATTTACGGATGAGAGAGAAAATTTATTACAAACATAGAGATTATAAAAAATATAAAACATCATAAATAAAATTAATTTCGAGCCATTAAAACAATCTTAATTTTTATGCTCCCTAGTATATAACTTATAGAATATCCTTTATCTCATGCAATTGGTGTTTTTTCAAACAAATTTTTTTCATATCCCTACAAACCTATCTTTTACACAGATATTTTATACTCTTTTTCATAATTCTAAAAGTTAATTCTTATTTTATATTTATAAAGTTTCATTACTTAATCACAAGAAATTTTTATTTACTAAAAACTCTTACTCATTACGAATTTTTATTTTTATTTATCAAGTAATTCTTTAATTAATAGAATTTTATTGAAATTCAAATTGATTCTCAATTAAAATTTGAAACAATATCTAACAAATCTCTACCTTAATACAAATTTTATTACAACATCGACCTTCAAGAAATTTCAACTATACATGTTCGAATCAATGTTGACTCCATATAAAACAAGATAATTAATACTCATGTGCAACCAAATTAACTTTATCCGATTGATTTCACCTGTAAATTGATGCCTTGTTATAGCATATTCTCTTACATATATTTGATCTCACGAGTATAATCTACAACAATAAATATTTTTTCCACAATAAATGTGGGATAACTTTAACAATCTATCATTTTCATACATCGGGTTATAGAGAAGAGTTTTTATACTAAGTTCACGAGGAGATGTTAACAATCTAAAGCTCATACCACTTTGATGAGATAAAATAATTTCAAATAATATTCAAATTAAATATGTCACGTAACAAAAAAATTAAATTATCTCTGCTTTACGTGAATTTAACAAGAATTAAATAAATTAAGCTAACAAATAAATCTTTAAATCACAAGCACAAAAACACAAATAATTTATGTGAAAAGTTTTACTCAAATAAGGAATAAAAATCACGATCAACAACAAATAATTTTTATTATCTAAATAATGAAAATATAAAATTCTCTGTAACTAAAAAATATCTTAAGATTAAATTATTTGATAAAAAAATAATTTTGTGAGAAAAAATTAAAAAATTTTCAATAAATTTAAAAATTAATAAATATCCACAAAATCAATAAATAAAAATTTTAAAACTCGATTTTCATCATTTAAAATAAAAAAATAATGATTTATGAATATACTAATAAAATTTTAATTTAATCAAATAAAAAATTAACCTCGATCAAAATTATTTAACCAAAATTGTACAAAATGCCTTTTTTCTTTATTGCTGTCATGTCTCTCTTGTTTCGCTTTCAGTTATATAAAAATTTAAAACCCTATAGTTAAGTATGAAAGGATTAAAAAATTCTTGCTAAAAGGGCTTTGGTTTAGCCCAACTCCACGTGGAGGAAACCACGCCCAACGAAATACGCAATCTATCATGTGGCCGTCGACTTAACACGGACTGTAGATGTTGGGTGGCAGTCTCACCGTGCAATCCTTCTTATGTTTTTCCAGGTATCCAAAGAAGGGCATTTTTTCTTTTTTTTCCAGCACACTTCGTTCAGTTTTTTACTGTTCTACTCACATGTGCAATACCAGTATAATATCCTATGCAAGACAATTACTGGGGACCAATATTCATCCTGTGGTTGTGATGGTGCTTCATGAAGAAGAGCATTCTCAGCGTCAAACAGCTCAATAAAAAAAATCCAAATTCAATAAAAAGCACAAAAACAAATTCATTCAATGGTTTAGGCTGTTATTTTGACATTATTATTTTTTAGCAGGAAAGAATCCTAAGCTCCTGACGGTTAACTTATATTTTCCAGGCATGCAGTCTCCCATGAAGGTGAGATAGCATGTGAAAGAAAAAAGGCTTTTGCTTCAGCAACCACCTTCCTTTTTATTGAGTACTTCACCTTATTATTGTTCAACCAATCCATTACTTTTTGCATAAACTACATCAAATATGAGGCCGCTCAGGTTGGTGAGCTTTAAATGGGTGATGGTTGTCTAATGAATGAGATTTGTTAGAATGTCTGATGGCTAAGGAAAGGAAACTTAAAAGTCATCTTAGCTGATCCAACTAACAGCAAAATGGAGTTTTGGGATTTTAAATTCCCTGCTATAGATGATTAATTATGGTTGGAATGCCATGCAACTTAAATGGCTAGCAAATTCCATTTTCAAAGGCTATATAGCTTTTGGCCCTTGTGAGCGTGACTCGCATTATCCTTTTGAGGGCAGTTGGCAACTGCAACTGTGGTAAGTTTAGAAGGCAAGAAACTGCTTGGTTTGGGCTTTAAGATAATTATCAAATATGCATTATATTATCAGCCAGACTCCAAAAACCTGTCTGCTAGCTATTTACCCACTGAAAACACTCATTTTGAATTGATTATTATTGGAGTGAAGATAGAGATATATGCAAGAAAACATGAGAATGTGAAATGTGCTTTATATTTTGTTAAATTAAGACCAAGACCTGTCGACTTAGCCAAGTTAAAGGCACCTTTAAAGGCCATAAAGGGGCATCATGAATAGGGTAAAGTTTAGGTGAACTGTGTTTGTGGAAAAAAAAAAGATTAGATCAACTGTTCACTCATCATGGTAAAAGAAAAGCTAGACATGGCCAGTGGCCTTGTAAAATTTGGTGAGCTGTAGTGGAATAAATGGAATAAATCACTCTGTTGTTGTGAATCTGCATTGAAGAATGAAGAATCCAATGCCCAAAAAAAGGTCTATTTGGCTATTTCTGTGAAGTGATTTTTCTTTCTTATGACAAAAATGAAACCCTTATGATTTATAAAAACTAAAAACACTCTTATTATTTCCCATGATTCTTCTCCCTTGCATCTAAAGAGTTGATGTGACAGAGATTTTGTGATTATTCACAACAAAAGAAATATATAAAAAAAATAATTGGGACCTCAAATCTAATATGTGTATAGTCATCTAGCCTTGCATCTGTTGCAAATGATCTGTCGCCAAGATCATTGATGGTTTTTATATTTGACTACACCTTTCATTTCTTTATCCAGGAATTTTCCACTACTCTATCTTGTAAGGGTGAGAAAAAAAATTAAAAAAAAATTAAAAATCAATTTAAAATTATAACATTCAGTTTAATTTAATTTGTATTAAATTTAAATATTAAATGCATATATTAATTTTGGATTGAATTTTAAATCAAAAAATAAATAGGATCAAATTATATTTTTTGAAATTTTTACATATTTTTTAAACTTTTATAAAACAAAAATAATAATTTTATATCAAAATTTATTTAACTATATTAAAATAATATATTAAAAATTTAAAATTTATAAATCAAATTAAATTGATAAATTTCATTTTAATTCTAATTCAAATTAAATTTTAAAATTTTATAATATTACATAATATTTAAAATAATGGAATCAAATTTAATTTAATTCAAATCTTATTATCGCTGCTAACAATTTAATAACTATCTCATAACTTAATATTCTAATTAAATGGAATTTGAACTGTTAAAAAAAGAAAAAAAAAAACAAAAAGTGAACAGATAAGTACAGGAAATGTGATGAGGTCTCCAAAGATGAACCTACATACGGCCATTGGACAGCCGCAAGAGGTGGCGCGTTATTGCACCAGACGGAGACTGTAGTAGCAAACAAGTGGGGATTATTTCCAGTGTAACTGTCAGCGGAGGTCTTTGGTGCATCACTGGGTCAACCAAAACAACTTGTGATTACATCATAGCGCCACGACTCACGAGCACATAGACCGTGACGGAGACATACATGCATGTAACCAAGAACCTGTTGAAAAAGCATATCTCTGTCCGTTGATTTTTCAAACCCAAAAGAGCCAAAGCCGCCCTTGATATTTTGACCATTTGCCTGCTAGAGCTTTCACTGCTTGTACCTATTTTTCCTTGTGCAAAAAAAAAAAAAAAACCAAGCTATTATAACTTTGGTTTGGGTGGAATACAATGTAAGGACGAAACTGCTTGCGGAAAAAGAAGCCTCAGAGAGTCCGTGGGGTCTAAGTCAACCAAATCAACGGTGCCAGACTAGCCACGTCGTAGAGAATGTTTAGCGATTGTCGGAACTCAGAAGAAAATTCCATTCTTTTATTTTCCCCTTTTCTCTAGAAAAAAAAAAAAAAGAATGCCGGCCAGCCTGTCCCCCACCCTTGCTGTTTTTCTTTTTCTCCGGTGCCATAACCAGACAAAAATTCTCCCCAGTGGAACATCAGATCTCCAATCTGCCCCCATACCATCACCACGTGCTTCTGATCCGCCACGTGTTACAACTTAGGCCTCTGATTTCGGCTTGGACGGTGTTGATTCCCTCCTTGAACATGCTTCTAATTAGATTAGGCTATATAAATTAGCTCATGACCACGAATCAGGCTCACATGTGGGGAGGCGTACGGAAAGGAACCAATGTATGTTTGGGTTCTTCTTTTTACATTAGCCGACCTTTTTTAAGTCTTAATTAAAAACAATAATTAGAAGAAATGAAAACAAGCATTTGGCATTTATACATGCAGGCATAACCAAGCAAGCGGTTGGAATTTTTAGATGAAAATTTCAACTCCCTAGTTGTAGTTGGCTTCACTTGGCCGTTGCAATAAAATGAGAAAAATAAATACAAATGGAAAATTTACAAGAAAAGCGATGAGGACATAGGTAGATTGTTTTGTTTGTGAGGTACAGATTACAAAGGAAAGAATTAAAGAAAGGAAAATAAACTAAATCCATCAAATGATCAAATCCCAATCAGTTCATGGAATTCCCCACAGGAACTACCATCACCCTCCTTCAAAAACAATTCAAATTCCCCCCTAATTCACCTATAAAAATAATTGCAAAGTAAAATTAAGACGAAAAAAAAAAATTCCAAGAAAACGAAAAAAAATAAGAGAGAAAAACACAAATTTGGAGGGCAAACCTTAGTTACTTTCCCCCATTAACTGCGCACTTTATCACTCTTTTACTTACTCTTTGTGCACGTTTTAAGGAGAAACCGAGCCCCCACTGCCCACATTGTCTTTTGCTTTTCAATTTTCTTTTCCATTTTTTCACGTTATGCTAAGTTGTGGCCAATCTAGCTGGGGTCCTTGATTCGGTGGGGGGAGTATGACCGTCTGATCCTTTTGAAGGATCATCAGACGACTGCCGTAATCCGTCATCAGTTTCCCCTCTATTCATATCTTCAATCATACGTAACACTTCCTGCATGGCGGGTCTTTGATCAGGTACCGTCGATACGCAAGTCATTGCAATTTGCAACAGTTGCACCATTTCCTCCTCAATGCTGTTATATCTCATTAACTCCACGTCGAAAACCTCAGCGGTCCATTCCTCCCGAACCACGGATTGGACCCAACGAGGAAGATCAATCCCCTCTTCTCCTAACGATGCTTGGTTAGGTGCCTTGCCAGTTAATAACTCTAGCAGTAACACTCCAAAGCTATACACATCAGACTTGAACGTAACTTTGCGGGTTTCAAGTACTTCAGGTGCTCGGTAGCCTGCAACACGGCTAGGCGGAGTAGTGTTGCCAAAGAGCGGGTTGAGTCCGAAATCAGAGATGCAGGCTTCACGGTCTGGTCGGAGAAGGATGTTGGAAGACTTGATGTTGCCGTGGACCACCTTTCCTGAAACGTGGAGGTGTGCTAGGCCCCTAGCCGCGCTTAATGCTATTCTCATCCGGTTGTCCCAGTCTAGTGGAGTACGGCCTGAGCCTCTGCTACCTGCAATGTTATCACATACCAAGGTTTAATTCACTACCAAAAAGAAAAAGCTATTTGGAATTTGCCCACTTGAGGCTGTAAATTTTCATGATCAGCCAAAATGTACCCAATAGCCAATGAGCTACACCTACACAATATCATCAAAGTATATACCAAACATTTTGCAAAAAGTCCAAACTACCAAGAAATTTGATTAGTAAGCAGATATACTTTCCATTTTACTAATTTGACTTGCAATAGTCTAAATGTATTCGTTCGAATTAAAAGCAAACTTTAAAACGCTAATCCTATTCTTATACCCAATTGAGGCTACTTGAATTGAAAGGAAAGGAAACTACTCAAAAAAGTCTAAAAAAAAATGCACCACAGAGTTTTCATTACACTGCAAAAAGAGTTATCATTTCATCAACAGGCATGCAACACTCAATTTCACTCATTTGGAAGAACCCCGCATGAAACAGGATATATATAGTATAATTTCAAGGTTGCAGGGAAGTTTTGGTGAAAAAAATAAAAAGGTAATGAAACAATGTCGGTGGATCCATAGGTGATTTTTTTTATGAAAATGCATGTTGCAATGGTGGTGGCAGAAATGTCATTAAATGAAGACATGAAAGAATGTTTTTTCAGAGAGTGGAAGAATAACCAAATTGGGGACCTTCTAAAATTTGATTCTTGAAGCCAAAAAATTTGCATGAATTATTGGTTCTTAAAAACCCAGAAAAGCGAAACATAGAAACTTACCGTGAAGCAGGGCAGACAAGCTACCATCAGCCATGAAATCATAAACGAGCAACTTCTCATCTTTGGAATAATAAAACGCTCTCAAAGGAACCACATTTTCATACTTGATTTTACCCAACATTTCCATCTGCGTGTCGAACTCTCTTCTACTAACCGCCACGTCTTTTAACCGTTTAACTACCACCGTTGTCCCTTCTTCTAACACAGCCTTGTACGACGTTCCAACACTGCCTTTTCCCAACACTTCAGCTGAAGCCCTTAACAAATCCTCCAAATCGAAACTATAAACACCACCTTCAAAGAACACGAGCTTATTCCTTTCCCCTTCCGTTGACCCTCCAGTTATATCATCTTTCGAAGAGGAAGTTCCCGCTTCTGCCGGGGGAACCGCCCGTGCCGCCGCCGTAACCGGCTTGTGCTGCTTCGGTGGCCGCCGCTGCCGTTTGCGGAGGCAAAGAATGAGGAATAATAATAACAACAACGCGACGATTGCCGACCCCACAGCAATAGCAATGATGGCACCGGTGGATAGCGTGGTGGACTTTTTACCAGAAGTTGTGGGTGGAATGGGCTCGGAAGGAGATGGGGCCGGTGGAGGGAAAAATGGGTTACAAGGCTGGAGTGGGCCTCCACAAAGCCCAAGGTTTCCGGCAAATGAAGAATCAGGGAATTTAGATAACGTGCCGGGAATTGAACCGTTAAGGTTGTTATTAGAAACATTGAAATCGTTTAAACCGTCGGAGTTGATGCTCGGGAGAGAACCGGAAAATTTGTTGTTTTGCAAGAAGAGTCGGGTCAATTGAGTCAAATCGTTAACCCCAAAAGGAATAGGACCGGTGAAATTGTTAGAAGAAAGATCGAGCCGCACCAAACGAGTTAAATGAGTCACACTGGGTGGGAACGGACCGCTGAACTCGTTATCTTGCAAATAAAGGCTACGGAGGAGAGTCAAATTGGAGAAGTCGGCAGGGATCTCACCGGATAAACGGTTTGCTCGGAGACTTAAAACTCGGAGTTGGTTTAACAGACCGATTGTGTTGGGTGGAATCGGACCGACAAGACCCACACCTGGAAGCCGGAGAGTGTAGACAAAAGAGCGGTTCGCATCACATTCAACACCGACCCAGTCGCAGGCTGAGATTGATGAGTTCCATTGAATCCGGTTGGCGTGTCTGGTCTCCGAAAGGAACGCAAGGAGAGCTTGCTTGTCTTGAACTGGTTCTGAGTTTACTCCCAAACTTAATATCAGAACTGAAACTAAAAAAACACAGCCAAAATTTACTATCATTTTGGGATTTCAGTTGAAAAAAGAAACACGACAAAGAATGAGGAAAGAGATGATTCTTTTTGCTCTATTTTGCAGTTGCTTTGGTCGGAAGCTTGTAAGAACCGCTTCGGACAGTACCAGAAACGGTTTCCCGGTGAGAAGCCATAAAAGCAAGAGAAATGAGAGAGAGAAAGGGGGGGTTTTGTACAGTCTCACGAGTTTACAAAAGTGAGAGAATAAAGCTGAGCTAAAACGCTTTTCTTTATTTTCGTTTCGGTTTTTTTTTTTCCTGTTTTGTTGTTTTGAACACGCGATTGGAAGGGCGTGGAGTTTGTGAAATTTGATGATATCTACGGCTTTGGATTGCTCCGTGTGAGACTGAAATACTTGGGAGTGATGGCAGGGTGTGGGTCCCGGCTACATCCACGTCGGCCTCAAGTGTCACTTTTTTGCATGTGATTCAGCAAATCAGCTTAAGGAAGTGAGGTCCACGCATCCAAAGAGCGTGGGGATTTTCTTTTCAGATATGTCCCTTTTGTTTTTCCTATGGATGGTGAGAGAAACGGCCATGGCCCGTAGGCTGAAAAACAAAACAGCACTCATTACACTCTGCTCACAGTTGGAGATTCATCAGACGGTCTTGGAATTCCTGATTTGGCTTTCATCACGTGATCATGTCAGGGTTGGTAGAATTAATGGTTAAGCTCTTAACCGTTTGATTAATGTAAAAATCTATTTATGATGGAAGCTCAACAGGTTTGACCGTGGAAGTTAAGAGTGGAAGAGCAATTGGTGACATGTGGCAATATCTTACAAGTACTTGATTTTAGGTACATCTAGAAGGGCCATAGCTGGCTAATATTAGCTGGAGATTGTTGGGTTTAAGCTTACTTCGTCACTGAGAAATTATCAGATGCGGCAGACATATGGCATTTCCTTCTTTCTTTCTTTCTTTCTTTTTTTTTTTTTTTTTTTTTTTTAAATCCATTCAAATAATCATTTTTTTAATTAAGTAAAAGCTCATTAATTATAAATAGTCAGTTTATGTTTCAAAGTATAAACGCTTTGAGGGAAACAAATTTTTAATACTGTGATCATATAAGTAGTATAACTTCCATTGATTAAATTTCTTTTAAGAATTGGAAAGTGCAGAATTTAAATGCTAATACCTTTTTCAACTTTTGGGTATCGATTTTTTTTATTATAACTTCTTTTCATCTGATCTTTCTCAATTGAAAATTTTTTATACGTGCTTAATTATATTTTATTAAACAAATCCTAAACAGATCAACTAAAAACAATAGTAATCGGAGGCCATAGGTAGAGAAAAGTTGAGCACAAAGGTAAGCACTGATGCAAGGATAGAAGGTGTGAGATCCTAAAGTATAATCTATCATATCTATTAACAAAATCATTATATGCGAATTATATTAAGCAAAAACAATTAATAAGTAATTATTATGATATTATATTATAATATATCTAAATTAATAGTATAATTATCATTAAATATGATATTAATTTAATTATATATTTGGATCTATAATGAGATTAATCGATATTGATTAATATATTAAAAAAATTTATTTTTATTTATATATATATATATATGCTATAATCTATTAAATTTAATAATTTTAATTTTTAAAACGAAAGAGAAATTTTCTCTCATTTTACTTGGAAGTCGAAACTTAAAACGTAACATCAAAAGGTACAAAATAACAGCATTAATTTAATAAATTTATGTTTAGCGAGGTTGAATTTTTCTCTTATCCTAATCAATTTTAACTTTTATTTTAAATTATTTTAATGATTTGATGAGATTTCGGTCAAAATCAAAATAATTTTATGAATATAAAATTTTATTTTTTTCTATTAGAATAGTAGTGAAAAATATGTATGTGTTTGAATTTAAAATGTTTGTTTTGATTCAAATATTCAAATTTAAATTTTCATTTATTTCAAAAGGAGGTGTAAGTGTCACGAGTCAAGATTTAAGTTCCGAACTCGCGCGATTCTGAAATCCGGACATTCACTCTTCCGACATCCCAAATCAGCCTTCTTGTCATGGTTCACACCCTTGTGAGGTATTGTTCGCTCTGGCCCCCCTGATCTCACGATTTTATCTTACAAAAGGTACCTCACAAGACGGAGATGATGTGAACCCTTTTATATCCCAGTGACCCTCCTATTATGTTCGATGTGGGATTCATGACTCATCCTTAGGTCCGTGACATTCTCTCGCACTCAACCCCGTGACGTCCTCATCACGGAGGTTGGCCACTCTGCCTACCTCCCTAAAAGTGCTTAACGTTGATCGAACGGTTTAGGACTGGCTCTGATACCACTTGTCACGGGTCGAGACTTAAGCTCCAAACCTGTGCGGCTCCGGGACCCGGGCATTCACCCTTCCAGCGTCTCAGATCAATTTTCTTGTCACGGTTCACATCCTTATGAGGTATTGTCGCTCTGATCCTTCTGACTTCACGATTTTATCTTACAAAAGGTATCTCATAAGACGAAGATAGTGTGAACCCTTTTATACTCCAATGACCTTCGTATTATATTCAATGTGAGATTCATGACTCATTCTTAAATCTGTGACATAAGAACTTAGAAGTCAAATCCCTTCATGCAAATTGAAAAAAAAAATCTTCATTTTAAATTTGTTTGAATAGTATTACTTTGGAAGACAAAGTGCACCTATAAACTAATCCAAGTTTTGAATTTTATCACCAAACTAAAACTATTTTGACAAATGAAATAAAAGGAAAATGGTACATGCTTGTTTCATGATCGTGGAAGATTGAATTTTCAAAACTAACGTTGGCCGCTACTTTTGTTTCATTTGAGTGGATGATGGAAAAGATTTTCCTCGTACCGTGTTAAAACTGCTTGTTGTGCAATTGAACTTTAATTGAAGTGTTTGTTAGAAAAATTATTGGAAATAAAAATCAAAATATAATAGCAAAATTCAATCTTCAATCATGATATGGTGGAAAAATTACCCTTCATCCCATTATATTATTAATTTAGACAAATTTTTTATATTTTTATTTTATCTAAATGAATTTTTAATTTTTATTTTGCATTCAAATAAAGTTTTAAACTTTAATTTATATTCAAATAAATTTTTATCTTTTAATTTGTAATTAAATAAATTTTTAACATAAATTAATTTTTAATTAAAATAAAAACATACTTGAACACAAATCAAAAATTAAAAATTTATTAAATATAATAAAAATATAAAAATTTATTTAAATAAAATAATAAAATTCAAGAAACTTTTTTTTTTTTTTTATATTCCCTCTAAACCACCGGTGGGGGCTCTAGCCCTGTTGCGCCTGCTGCAAGCATAACCGGAATCAGGACCCTGTCAACCATTTATAATAGGCATTCGGCACAGCTGTTCTTCTCAGTGCATGCTCTGTTTCATCTCTCCCCCACTCGTTTTCTTTTCCCTTCATTTCCCTTTTTTGTTTGAATCTTCTAATCTTCGCCCTACAAAAAAAAAAAAAATGTACTACTCCCAATCTCACTGACCACTTTCAAGTTTCAACACCTTCTGTTCTTCTAGAAACAAACTCCTCCAAGTTTTCCTTTTTCTTTTGGTTTTTTTCTCCAGCCCCATGAACTATAAAATGATCAAATTCATTGCCTAAACCTGGGTCCCCTTGCTACTCAATCATTCATATCAGACAATAATCTAATCATCATCATGTGTGGTTAGTAACAAACATATAATTAATTTTTTGAAGCATGTCCATTAGCCCAAACTTGTCATCACTAAAATTTCTAACTTAAACAACTTCAGTTCTTTTCCACTTGATTGGGATTCTATCATTTTGTTAGAAAAATTGGAGTTCAGACTTTACACTTCACCTGCAAGAATCAATTAGACATCACATTTTTGTCTAAAGTATAAAACTAATGGTGTCTTGACATAACTAGACTTCATTTTTATTGTCGGTGAAAATTTTTTTTATTACGCCATCATATTATTTTGAGATTAAAAACTATAAATGAATTTTAGTTTCAGATGCCATAAAAATCTCTTCTCACCTGTTACCAAAATAAAATAATAATCGATCCTTCACACTGCTAATCTCCATTTTTTTTTTTTTGTTCTTTCGGTTCCTTGCTCATTAATCTTACTAATTTTAGTGGGGGGTATGGATTCTATCATATCACAAATAAAATGTAATTGAGTTCATCGTATCATCGGTTGAATTTAAATATTAATTTCAATAAAATTCATTTAATATAAATTTTTTTCGATCATAACTACAATAATTTTTTTTTTCAATTATAATTATAATAATTTTTATTATTATTTTCAATCTTACATTTCATCCTAATAGATTCTTAATAAATAGAAAGATGACGAGAGCATATTTGAACTCTGTTTTTTATATTCTTCAAGCATGTAATCTAACTTAAAATCTTTGACTATAATCAACATCAGTATACAACAACATGGGTTGATGGAGAATTACTAAGTTGTCGATTTAGTATTTAATTATTTATAATTCTTTATTATATTCATATCATACAAAATAATGCTAATTAAACGTTGACGGTTGTTGTCTTGGTCTAGTTATAACAACTGTGTGATTCTTCACATTTATATTCTCTTTATTTTTCTCTAATTAATAAATAAAATAGAGAAATTTTTGTTAGGACAGAAAGTGACTTTCATATATTTTTCTTACTAATTCATGTTTAACGTTTGTAATTGTCTTTTTCTATATTTTTTGTCAGGACTCAATAAATGTGTTAGATTTAATGCAAACAGCAATCTTAATTGTAGGGGAGAGAGAAGAACTCTCACATAATATTTTTTTTTTAGTATGCATGGAAATGATATCATCTTATTTATTTTATTAATGAATTATAATCATGATAATATATAAAATTTATATACTAATAATATATTAAATATAAACTCTATAATTAAATTAAAATTAAAGGGAATTCATTTACAATCCCAACAGCAAACCAACCACGTAAATTATAGTTTCTTCCTTGTGCATGGTGCAGGGGAATATGATATGTGAATGATCAGTTCCACCACTATAACTGTTACTTAAGAATCATCCAAAACTACTAAACGCTTTAATTTCTATAAATCTAAGACAAAACTTCAATATCTTGCTTATTGAAATTTGTTTAGATTAAAATTATTAGGGGATGTAAGATTTCTTTATGATATTCTCATATTATATATATAAATAAAATTTTCAACAAATTTGTTAATTTTATCAATAAATTTATTAAATATGTGGACATAAAAGATATCCATAAGAAAATTTTGGGTGTCTAATAGAAATTTTTCTTTCGACTTTTCTTATTTTTCAATTTTTAATGATGTCAATGAAAAAGTTTTATGGTTATCCAATGAAAATTTTTTCTTCAATTTTTTTTTTCAAACATAAACACCTTAATTTATAAGGTGGATCTGCCTATGATTAAAATGGACCGGAGATTAAGATGGATAATAGGCTTGTTTTTTCTTAAAGAATAAAATTGCAAAAATTTGATGTCAGATAATATCTTGTAAGACATAACCGGGCATAAGTAAAAAAAAAAAAAATCCTTCCATTATTAAAAAAAAAAAAAAAAAAGAATGCCCCTGATTCTGTCAATATAACTGCAAATTCTGAGCATTTGACAGAAGATTTGAAATGTTGTTATATTAACTTATTTTGTTGTTGGGTTGTAAAACATTTTCCATTTGGAACTGCACATGGCTCCCCCTTGAATCTTGAGTTATCGCTGTCAAGTAGCAGAAAACAGTTTAGCATTCCAGCTAGCTTCCTGCATTGGTTCTGAAATGTTCAGGTGGAGCAAGCAATAACCAAGCTCGGCGTTCGATGCTAAAACTTCGCTTTTCTGAGTAGCCAAAACAAGTCATGAAGCTGAGTCTCTCTTGATATATTCACCGTATTAAACCTAGAAATAATCTAAAGTTATTGAAATATCCATGGAATTACATATCATACCTGGATAATGTTCTTGCCCTTGCACTAATACGCACAGACAAACTGTTACTACCTGGGACAACTAGGTTTTGATCGAGCCAACGAATCCATCCGCTGCTACTGCCAATGACTTGAAACCAAATACCAGAATGCGCTTAACACAGGGAGTGGTGATTACAACTTAATTCAATTGTCAAAGGGGTGATAGTGACTTGTTACAGTTCAGGATTATTGACATTTGAGAATTGAGATTATATCCTTGTGATTTTTTCGTCAATGTCACCAATCAATAATCTTTGAATTCTCAGTCAATCCATAAGGTTCCACTTTCATTGAGCTCTAGGATTATGCATATATGTGTGTGTGTGTGTGTGTGCACGTGCAATTTTTTATCAAATCATGCATATTTCTTTTCTAATGTGCTGCATGTACATAGAATTGTCAATGTAACATCATTGGTATTTGCAAGATCCACAAGAAATCTACATTCAAAAGATCAGCAATTTCACCCTTGTACTTGTTGTAAGGAAGGCCTACAATTCAGATCAAACAAATGGAGACCAAGTTAAAGAAGCCATCTCCAACTGATCTTCTGTTGCAACGTTTAAATTCAAACTCTTAGATTATATAAGATTTACTTCTTGTATAGTTAATGATCAGATGGTTCAGTCTCAGTGGTTCAATACCAAAAACACTGGGTTAGCAATTTAGCAGAAGCAAAAGTACTTGATCATAGCCATTGTTATTGTTGTTGTTACTGATATAATTCTTGTCAGTTATCATTTAACAACTCACGTCGATATAATTAGATTAAGTAATCCTGGTGTTGGAGAGCATCGCTGTGATCCACAAAATTCGAGTCTTTAGAAAAGATGAATAATCGGCTGAAACTAGAGATGTAACAGGAAAGAAAGCACTCAGAATTCTGGACGAAAAGAAGAAAAAGCTCAACTTGTTAAAAAGTGGAATTACACAAAAAAGTCAGAAACGAAAATGCTTACTCAATGGAAAGACAAGTGAATAATTGAATGGGGCTCCACTCTTTATGGCTTCAAAGCCTGCCATGAATGGATAATGTATTGCAGAGCAAGCAATGAAGGAGCATAACTCCTGGCACAACGAGGGCCAACATTGTCACGTGTCTTCTTTGTTTTCCTGGCCATGCTTCGATCTTTTGATGGACAGGGCAAGATACAGCAAAGCCTTGTCTGCCAAAAAGGCTCGACAACCTGCACAAGTCTATTGTGTGGGAATGCAATGTATACTTAGAATTATAGAAACCATCAGGCAATAGGAGGTTTATTTTTCATTGTTGCCCCCACCTTTTCATGAGCATATTAAAAGGCTTTTGGAACATTCTCGTCTAATTATGTGATTGAACATCTGCATGATAGCATGATTGCATGGGCCCTGAGACTAATCAACCCCAGAAACAAAGTGGACAATGGACATGAATCTGCAAACAACCATAAAAATTTAGAGTAAAACCGAAGTGGTAGTATTTGCCCAAATAATTTCAAGAAAAATACAAGTGTCTGCTCAGATCTCTCATTGTTTTTTCCTGCTCTCTTCACCGACCCTAAAGTAGTCTAGTCAAACCAGCCCAACTGAGTTCCACACTGTTTCATCTGTCGGCTTTATTAATCCCCGTCCGTGTCATGAATGGGCTTGTAAGCCTAAATGATTTGATAGCAAAGGCCGCGCTGTAAAACTTGGGTCGACCCAAGAAAAAATCATCCATTCATTGTATTTGTACAGCTACTGGCGAACTGGTCAATGGAAAGCGTTGTTAATCCAAAATGCACCGTTGGCCCAAAAAAATCCAACAATGCATCAGCACTATAGCCTGTATAAACGAACTAATGCTATTGCACTGTTTGAAAATTGAGAAAAAGAGTGAGCAACAAAAGCACGTTTGAAGGGATCAACCTGGGCACAGTCATGTATGTTGAAGCAAAAACATTGAAAATCCACCCCCAAAAGTATGTTTTTAGTATATCAAAATCACGAGAAAGTTCATGGATTTGAATGACAACAGGCGCATCATATTTCCTTTTTGACGGTTACAGCTCTAGAGAAGTGGGAGGTCACAAGTTCAAGCAAACGACAACGGGCAGTGAGCTTGTCAACGGACAAATCAGGAGTCAGCAGTAACAAGTCGATGACTTAACCAACAGCATTTGGATGAACCCGTTTTTTGAAAAACGTGTGCTTCCTTGGCATTTGGATGAACCCTTTTTTTGAAAAACGTTTGCTTCCTTGGTTTATACGACATCTTCATTATTACATCTTATCCATTCGTCACCCGCCATATTGGAGTAACATCCAGTGGCTAAAATGAATACTCAAAAACACTTGACTCTCAACGGATAAAATCAAATTTCAGTGCTTCACCGACTCTTAGGCCCTTCTAAACCCTCCCTTGTTTTGATCATAGCATTTTTATTTTTGTATTTCACGATGGCGTCTTTGTCTAGATTGGTCGTCAAAGATTACAATTTGCATAAATTTGATGCTGTATGTAGAAGACCATGGTCTTTGATTCCTGGCAGAAGGCTACAGGCAGCTCAGCTGGGTATGTTTTATTTGTGTTTGTCTCTAGTTGCTTGTTTATCCCATGGGTTTGTTTGCGATTTCTGTTATTTTATTTGAATATGAATCTTCAGATGTTAGAGCTGGAATTTCTGTGTCTGACAATGGAAATGGTTGGGCAATCCAAAGCAAGCGAAGTAGTCCCGTTGTTGCTCTTGCAGCCCCTTCCTCGATCATTCCAGCTTCAAGGTAGTTTCCGAGAGCAAGGTGTTTGATTTAATTGAATTTCTTTCTTACAAAACTCGAGAGTGCATGTTTCAGTGTTAAATTCATTAATTTTGACCATGCCAAAGAAGCAAAGCTAGCTGGTTTGGTAATCACAGGGTTGGTTGTTTAAAAAAAATGTTTAGAGCACAGCGCCGTTTCATTCTTTTTGGCAACGGAAGAAACTAAGGCTAGTAACAGGATGCCTTCAAGAACCTTGCAAGCTGGCTAACTTGTTTTTGTTAACCCCTGGTCCCGAGTTTGTTTAATTATCTCATAAACTTGGTGAATCCAGTTCTCTGTCACACCCTTAACTTGATTCTCTTCTGCTACCTGGATACTTTAATTTAAAATTCCCTGTTTCCTTTTGTTTTACTGAATTTTTGTCACCTGTTGATGTTATTTTTATCTCCAATATTCATGGATTTGGTTGCTAATGTGAGGCATTCTTACATTTGTTTTTCTAATGTATTAAATCCACTGTTAATTTGTTGGTGTATGAATTCCTATTTATGCATTTTTAGAGTACTTAAGAATGATGTGATCTCTATATCCAGGAATTCCAAAGTTATATGCAAGGCTGCAGCTAATGTATCTGGAGATATACCTTCACCTACTGGGAGGAACCAGTATGAGAGAATAATTGAAACTTTGACAACTCTTTTCCCTGTCTGGGTGTGTGTTTGATTTTCTTGGTGTATTTGATAAAACTCCCGCTGAATTTTGTCTTTATTTTATATTATAACTTTAATTTAACGAACAGGTTATCTTGGGAACTATTATTGGCATCTACAAGCCAGCTGCGGTAAAGTTCAGTTCTCTGCTTCTTTTAGTTAATGATGATTCAAATGTTGTGTAGCTACCTAACAATTTATTCCCTCCTAAAGGTAACATGGTTAGAGACGGATCTTTTCACTGTGGGCCTAGGTTTCCTCATGCTTTCAATGGGATTGACATTAACCTTTGAGGATTTCAGACGCTGTCTACGGAACCCATGGACTGTAAGGCAAAATATTCACATATGAGTTAGTGGACTGCTGATAAAACAAAAATGATCCTGTTTTAGTGTTTACATGGTTGATAGTATTAATTTCAATTTTGCAGGTAGGTGTAGGATTTCTTGCCCAATACTTAATCAAGCCTATGCTAGGATTTTCTATTGCAATGGTAATTCAAAGCTTGCTTTTGCTTCAATACTTTTGGCTGGTTGAGTTCTACTTATTGTGTAGATAAACTTCATCATCATAATAAGAAGACAAGACACTTTACTTCAAACAATGATGTTCCTAGTATTATTTGATTTGAGTTGTAGAATGCTGGTGAAAAAGTGTGTGCTATTAATAGATTGAGAAATCTCCCATCCAATAAACAGGTTAGTTGAAAACTGCAGAAAATAAGATATATGTTGTCAAAATTTAGCTTTTGAAATGAAAGTCAAAAGTAATTTAGATTGCATTATATATAGTTTGATTTGTCAGCATTATAGACCTTCCTAGTAGGCTTGTATGAATAAGAGAATGTTGAACAACATCTATGTGATTTTCAGACTCTGAAACTTTCTGCTCCGCTTGCAACTGGTCTCATTTTGGTCTCATGCTGCCCTGGTGGTCAGGCATCAAATGTTGCAACCTATATATCTAAGGGGAATGTAGCGCTTTCTGTTCTCATGACAACGTAAGATACAAACTGCATCCATGCATCTAAGTGCTTTTATCCGATAGTGTAGACTTGTGATCTCTGACTTACCTAATGAACCTTTTATCCCTTTTTGTTTGATATCCTTAAGTTTAACTTTGGCCTGAAAAGTGCCTTCTTTTGGATCTCTCTCTTAAGTCCTAAGGGAAAGATGTAAAAACTATCTTTTGACTATGAAGTTCTTTGGCAAATGTTTATTCAAGGAAAATATTTATCCGTGGGACTGTTCATTCACTTATGTTTCCAAGGTAGAGGAAATGAGATTGGAACAAACCTAGCTAGAGTTTGTTTGTCTAGATGTTTGCTCGAAAGTCCACTTAGACAGTTCACTCTTCGCAGTTTATTGAGGCTGGTAACATGCAAAAGGGAAGAGAAGAAAACAAATAGGCTTAATATACTAATAATTCAGGAGGAATATTTCAGATATTTTTACTAGAGAAAAGGAATTATGCGCATTATGCTTATAAAAAGAAGTGTAAGATTATTAGCAATGAATAAAAGTTTCTTGAATGTTATTTAGTTTTTCTATGGTTCTATTTTCAAACAATATAGAATTGCATGATTTATTTCTTGAGTTTACGAGGATGACATAGTTTTTATTTGGTTATACTTTGACCTGCATGACTGAAATGATAGCTAATAGGACAACTTACTTCAAATATGCATTACTTTCATATTTAAGAAAGCATAATAACTTATGTCTCTAAGATTTAAGGCATTTTCAGCATTTCTGAAACTTGAAATTAAACAACCTTCAAGTTCCCCAATTTCGTCTGGAATTTTTGCAGGTGTTCAACCATTGGAGCAATAGTTATGACACCACTCCTCACGAAGCTACTTGCCGGTCAGCTTGTTCCTGTTGATGCTGCAGTATGTTTATTCTATTTGATGATTGCCTTTATAGATAATTGGCAAATACATAAAGCATGAGACAACTGACATTATACAAGTCAAAGTAGTTAAATATCTCTTTCTTTACTCTGGTGACTGACATACACAGTAACGAGACCTGCCTCTTTGGTTTCTCTTCCAAATTTTTTGGACTTATTCATCCACGAAAACTTTAAAGCAAACACAACAGGTGGATCCATTAGAAATTTAAAATATATCTTTATTACTTAATAGTGGTGATAAAAATGAGAGAACCTAAATGAGAGGGAGGGTATAAGATCTCAAAATGTCATCTACCTAAATATAAAGTATTTAACCTTCATTTATGGTGATTCCACTAATGGAAAGACGTTTTCCAAAAATCTTTGCAGGGTCTTGCTATCAGCACTTTTCAGGTTGTGTTAGTACCAACAGTTGTTGGAGGTAGCAAAGGATTATTGTTTGTGCTTCAATATAGTGAAGTCTAGTGAATCTTTACATATGATCATATGATTCTAATGTCCTTTTTTGTGGCAGTTTTATCCAATGAATTCTTTCCCAAATTCACTTCAAAAATAATCTCAGTGACTCCATTAATTGGAGTTATTCTCACTACTCTGCTTTGTGCAAGTCCTGTAAGTTCTTAGGATACTTTATGAAGTATATTTACAATATCTTAAACTTTAATATTCACATTTTGTGCTTCTGTTGAAACTGCTTTCCACATTAAGAACTAACATCGATGCCTTTTCAATACGAAGATTGGCCAAGTGTCTGAAGTCTTGAAAACCCAAGGAGCTCAGCTAATATTGCCTGTAGCTCTCCTACATGCTGCTGCTTTTGCCCTTGGTTATTGGATTTCAAAAATATCATTTGGCGAATCCACTTCTCGTACCATTTCCATAGAATGTGGAATGCAGGTAGGCATTTCATCATTACTATTACGGCATCAGATTTCTTAAAATTTTTAGGTAGCTAAAACAAATCTGACTGATGTTTGACATTTTCATGAACGATTATCATATTATATCCATGATGCCTACTGGAATGTTAAATGCTTGATATCCTCATTATCCACGACTGATGTCTGTCACTAGTTTTACTGTCCTTGTAAATAAGCAAGGCATAGATTGCATGAGCAAGTCATCATACAACTTTGGGAATGGTAAATTCTTCTGTTTTAAATCTCTAATGCATCATATTCTTTCTCAGAGGAGTCTATTTTGTTTTATCTGAGCTTGGTCTTTTTTTTCCCTGTATTCACGATAATCTAAATGAGAAGAAGGAAAAAGTTTTATATCCCTGAAAATAACTTGGTATCTCATGAGTCCAAACTTGGTGTAATTTGCTAGATTATTAAGTGTGCTTCATTTTTCTGTCTATCTCTTCTGCATTCACGATTCCTATAGTTTTTGTAATTAGACATTCTTATTGCACGTCAGCTGGTGGCTTTTTGTCCCGTCTTTTTCCTCAAACCTGATTTTATGCACCCGATCACTAGTGTGCTCAGTGATGCCTTATTCTGTTTTATGCACAGAGCTCTGCACTTGGATTCTTGCTTGCCCAGAAACATTTTACCAATCCCCTAGTAGCTGTTCCTTCTGCAGTTAGTGTTGTTTGCATGGCGGTATGACCCTTTTTGCACTCTGACTTCTATTTTCTTCGTACAAGTCCTGCATTACCATTTTTTGCATGACAATCTATTAATTTCTTGCAGCTTGGTGGGAGTGCTCTTGCTGTTTTTTGGAGGAACAGACCAATTCCTGTGGATGACAAGGATGATTTCAAGAAATGACAAGTTTTCACTTATATTCTTTTCCTATGTATCTTCTGATTTTTTCCGTTTCTTCTCAATAGGAAGGCAGTTGTTGGATAGGTAAATCTTTCTTTAAAATTTACATGAGCCCGAATTTTGTAGGAATAAAAGAAATTTAGAAATCTAAAATTTGTAATAAGAGTCAATATAAGTTTTGTCTTTCAAGCTTAGTCTAGGCCAATACAATGCTAGTTTGATTTCAAACATTCGAGTACACTCCGATACATTTGCTTTCCACCAAGGCAACCAACGTCTTATACCAAATTTTATTTTGCCCTAAACATAATTTGACAAGGTTAGAGCAAAGAAGACATTGTTGCTCAAATGAAGTTTCATTGCTTAAATAATTTTTCATGTTGAAGCATAAGCCATAGCTTTAAATACATGGACAAGCTACAGACATATAATAGCAGCCCATAATCGATATAAATGGTTTTGATACATATATTTTGCAATCACAGTGGCTCTTGCTACCTAACAACTCAGTGCCTCTTAACCTTTTGAGGCAGTTGCATCACTAGTAATTTCAGTTCAGCAATTTTAGCTTTAGATACAAAACCCTTCTATTTTTGTTGATGATGAGAATCACAAACTTGGCCAAATTCAAGAAGCAACATCCAACACAGCAATCATAGCAGCTACATATATATATATATATATATATATATTTCCTATTCTTTTCTTTTCACAACACAGTTACTCCAGTAATTAACAGGCAACAGGGCATGCAGCTGGTTTTACAGGAGGAATGATGTTAGCAGCCGCAGGTTTGAAACCAGCAGCATTTTCCAGGCGTTCCCATGTTAGTTTCCTCTTCTCGGCCGCCTCACTCAATTGGGAGTTTTCCTCCTCCAACTTACGCTGGCAGGCAAGCACAAGCTCTTCATCCATCTCAGAAAACATCTTTCTTATGTTTTGTGTCAGGTTAAGCACCGCTTGGTTCCAATGATTCTGGGAATTGCGTTCAAGTGCAGGAAAGATAAGAGGAAAAATCACCTGGCGGTTATGTGAAATAAGATTAAGGATGTGCTCATTGTTCCATAGCAAGTGGGCTCGTTCAGCCACCTGAAAAGGTGGAAAAAGAAGGTTAAAAAACAATTTCATATCGCCATTTGGCTGCATGACATCCATCTCCATTTAATTAATTCGTCCAGTTAACAAACATCCTTCATGATGTATGTAGGAGACCAATCAATACGCAAAGAGAAATGCTAATACCAACAAAATGCATACAATTTCTGTGATTAAAATTGTACTGACATACAGTTCATTCTAAGGGAATTTCATGTTTGGAAACCAATTTGCCTCTTTCCCCTAAAGAGCAAATATATCACTGCAGAAGGGAGTGGGAGGTATCATCAGTCAGTTTGCATAATTACACAGCCAGAAAATTAGAGCCATATAATACCATAGTTCTTAATTTATGAATGTTACAATCACCATATAATTCAGAGTGAAAGCTACACCAGCTTTTAAAACTTTAAACAGTTTACATTGTCAAAAGATGCCTTTTAGCACAAACTATAGGAAATACACGCTATTCCCTAATTTGAAGCTCTTTCAGTAGGCAAAAGAAAAAAAGGAAAGGTGGAAAACCAAAAGTATACATGACACGAGGTTAATCAACCAAAAACAAAAACAATACTGGTAAAGATACTGTTTGACCGAAACATTTTTCGCAGTGATTATAAGAGGAAAATTACCTGGTAATGGGAGCTGTTTAAGCAGCAAGCAATACGCCGAAACAGTGGAACCATGATCTTTTGGAACTCAGCCATGCTAGTCATCTCCAAAATCTCTTCTAACTCACTTATAAACATCAACTCCTTCTGGCTATTTGTAACCGGCCAGTACTTTAACAGTCCCTTAATCACACTATTAGCTAACTTTGGATCCTTATCTATAAACTGTACAACACAGTATGCTAATTGCTGATGATAAACACCCACTGATTTTGGTTTGTGTAGGGGAATAAGAGCTCGCCATAAAAACATCTTGTGCTCCTCCTTCAATGGTGTAGCAAACCCACTAATAATACTTCCAAAAATCTCCAAGAGCTCAGCTATACCATTATGCCTTTCGGTTTCAAAAACAAAATGATAGATGATATTGCTAACAGCTTTTCGCACAAAGGGCCTGTGCACCATGAATTTGCCATAAATCCTATGCAGAATTGTTTTCAAACAATCTTTTTCTCGGGGGTCCTCAGACTCAAAGAGGTCAAGTAATCTCAAAATAAAAGAATGATCTACATACTTTTTTGCCAACTTTGCATCAAGAGAACTATAACTGATAAACCGAAGAAGTAGATCATAAACAAGTTGCAAATTGGACCAGGCAGGATCAAACATTGGCTCTTCATCTTCTGCTTCACCACTAGTGCTATTAGAACGATATTTAGGTGGAAAAACTCTGAACAGGTTAATGGCACACATTTTACACATTGCAGCAATTGCTGGTTCGATGAACTTTGCAGACCCAGAAGAAACGAAATCAACAAGCTCTATCAATGTTTGGCGTTTAAGATCTTGCTCAGCAGTAGTTTTATCTGGATCACTGAAATCAGAAACCTCACAGCATAGATTCAATTTACTGATAAACAGGTTCTGCTTCTGTGGATTTGAAACATCCTTGAAAGGTAGATTGGGCTCCACTGTTTCCACTCCAGCCATAATGCTAGCAGGAAAAACAGCCGAAGACACCCGTTTAACAACACTTAGTCGACTTGATATACTATTCCCAATATTTGTACATTGAACTCCATTGCCTGAGTTAGAAGTATGGTTACCAGAATCAATTCCAGCTGAATCTAATGTGTCAGATTTTTGTGACTTCCGAGGGAGTTTGCTTAGAATTTGTTTGAGCATGATGGCAACAAAGCAACTTCCAACACAAACTGCCTAAAACAGATTGCAACAGTTACAGACTTACAGTGATTCGACCAATGTATAAAATTCCAAATTGTAAGTGGATTCACTAGTAGTAACAACAAGAATAATATTCAATGGAGCAAATAAAAAATTGAGGAAAGGTCGAAAGGCCATGATCCAAAGACAGCCGCATACTGATATGTTTGATTTTTTTTTAAACTTCAAAAAGAAGAAAAAATGCTTAAAATTAAACTAATTTTTCAGGGAGAATTAGATGCATTCGTTCTACTAGAAGTGCAAGATTCTCAAAAGTAACTAGTTATGGAACATTATTTTTACATAAAAGTGTAAGCTTTGAAATTTTCCGATCTACCATAGCCATCGAAGCTAGATTATCTAACAATTACCAGATGCTAGAATTTAGCTTTCAACCAAACCAACTGACGACAAAAATGAAAACAAGAAGAAAATTCAGTAAAGCAATTACCCAAATTACAGAGTCATAATTGCCACCAGCATTATTCTTCAGAGATAGCAAAACAAAGCTAAAGCACTCACTTTGATGCCATAGAACTTGACAAGTAAGTTCTCCAGAAAGAAATTCACAAACTTTAGAAAGAAACAGGGGCCTAATAGGAGTGATATTGTGATAAAGTGTAAAGGAAAAGATAGAATTTTGTTTCATGACAGGATAACCATAAAAACTTCAGATCTGGTAAAATAAAGTGAACAAGAGAGTAAATCACCAAAGATCTAGCATCAAATCACAAGCTCATGACAATTGGAAAGAAACCCAGATCTCATTTATCAAAAAAATAGCAACCTTTAACTAACAAAACTATAGACTAGCACAAAGCATATAAATTTAGACAAATATTTTGACCCAAAAGGACCAAAATCAATCATGCAGTTAAGCCAAGAATAAAGACATAAAAGGAAAAGAGAAAAAACCTGTATTTGTTGAGCTGTCAAAGATTGGGGGAATTGGAAGAGAAAAATAAAACAAGAAGTTTTAAACAAAGAAGGAAGTGAAAAAGAAATATTCTCAAAATGGTTTAGACTTTAGATAAAGACAGCATTTTGCTTTCTCGTTAGTTTCAGGGTCAAGGAAGAAATTGGGTTAGAGTTTGAGTTTGTAAATGATAAAAATAGAGTAGTTTGCTGCTGTTGGATCTCCATGAAAGATGAAGAGTTGGATTCCTCGGTTGAAGAGAATGATAGGTGTGGCATTTTGTGAGAAAATTGCAGGCGCCAGTCATTCCACCAAAGGACGTAATAATTAATGATTAATTTGGGACACTGTTGTTTCGCACGATTATAGTCATCTCCTTGAGTATTTGTTTCCATCCTTTCTCACGTTTTTTTCGATCACTCTTCAATAAAAACTTTAATCACCATTCATCATGCAGTGGCACCTTTTTAAGTTTTTGTTTGATTTTTTGTTAGGAGGTGCAAAGGGAAACTAATCTTAAGATGTTCTTTATCTAGTGAAAGGAATTTAATAAGAGAGAATTACTTTTAATCATGTAATAATGAGCTGCTAAATTGTTTTTAGGAAAAATTACCTCTGTTAAATTACTTTCGAGTTTCAATTATGTAACTAATTTATCCTCTTTTTCATTTAACGTTTATAAGGTAATTTTCGGGAAAAATTACCTCTGTTAAATTGAGACTATAATGACAAAACTTTTCTTTTAAATTAACATAATATTCATAAAATATTTTGATTCATTATTTTTATCCAAAAATTATTAAATTTAATACTAATTATAATATAATGCAATTTTCATTTTAATCTCAATTAAAAACGACGGACAAAAAACCAAAGTGTTATGAATGAGATTGATATTTTCTAGTAAAAGACGGTAAGGTTGTCCCCCAAGCAAAATTGACAGTGTGATGTCGTAAGCTTTACTCTTTTGGAAAAACAAGCCTCCGGAGCGGGACGGTAGGGGCAGTAAGTAACCATTGTCACTTGCAAACAAACCAACGTACAAAAGAGAGTTTTACTTGAAAGAGATAGTAAGGCAAACAGTACAAGTTGTACAACAATTTAACACCGTATGTTTTGGGTTATTACGTTGACTGAAAGCATGGTTGGGTTGTGGAAGGAACCTTTTATTTTTTAAAAAATAAACAAGGGTAATAATAATAACCTCATATGTAAAAAGGTAGAAAGGCCCATATTCTCTACAAGCCCCAATAGAAACAAATTTCTCTGTTGTTTATAATCGAATTTTCTTGATTCAATACTAATAGAAAAGGTAGATGAGCAAATTACAGGGCTGAGACTAAAGGCAAATATCCATTGAATGAAATGCGAAAAAAGGCATATGCATATCGTGACAAAATTAAAGATTGATTGACCTAAAGTAGCCATACTCTTTAACTGGGTTAGGTAGGAACCATTGGGCATGTAAGGAACCAACCGACCAGTAAGGCAATGCATAAGAGAAGAAGCTTTCCTCTTTATACAAAAGTTGTTTCATCTCACATGGCTTTAAATTCAAACGCAGAATCACCTTCATGGCAATAGCCAGCTGGGCTGAGCAGGCTGGCGGATAAATTAGACACAGAATAAAACAAGAGCTAATTACAGTGAAGCTTACGACCTGTTCTTTCTCTCAAGGAAGATGAATATATATATATATATATACACATAAAAAGAAGAAACATATATAAGTGGGAAGAACACGAGATATAGAATCTACTCAAAGCATTGTGACACACGGCAATAAGACTACTGCCCCTCCAGCCACAGTTCAGAAACTTGCATTTCTAGGCACTTTCTGCAGGAATTTGACCCGCATTACCAAAACTTTTGGCATACTTAGGCCTCCACTGGGTCCTCCCTCTTAGAATCTCAGGCCCTTCCTCAAGTCGGAGCAAGTGCTGGCATTCAATTTCACCAAAATTCTCCAAGTTCCCCGCACCATAGTCAGAGACAGCGGTTAGTGACTGCAGCACACTGTCCCTCCCACACTCCCTCCTATACTCCAGTGTCATGGAAGAAAGCTCGTGAGTCTCCAAGATTGGCAATGGAGCACTCTGCAACCAGAATTACTTTCCAGTTAAAATGCATAAATCTTCCAAACATATAAATGAGCTAAATGGTGAAAATCAGGAGAAAAAAGTACATCCTAGATCAGATTCCAAGCATTGAGTTCCTAAATTGCAATTTCATATTAGCCTCTACTCAAGCTTGGAGGCTATTGCTTCCAAGAAAACTTCTATTCAATTGGGGCATCAGTAATTGGTACCAGCCTAGCAAAGATGTCAGCACACAATTCATTTTTATCAATTAATGCAACTTAAAACACTTCTAAGCAACGGTAAAGTAAATAGGATATAGATTTTTGGGTGGAACATAAACGTGGTTCGAAAATGGACACCCCAGATTTCTATGCTTTCTTGAATAAACCAAAAGCTAAGATAAATAGCTAATTATTGTCAGTTAGAATTTTCTAGGGCCCAAGCAAGTTCTTCCTCAGTATCATAGGTAAAAATTAAGGTATATGAAATAAACTGATTACGATGGTTCAATTGTCATCATTGGAGAAGAAGAGGTAAGCAGCAAGATAAAAAAGAAAACCACTGAAATGTTACTGGAGTGAGTCTACCTCAAGGATCCAGCCAATGTACTTCACATTATTGACATGCTGGTTGACATCCAAGTCACTCCATCTGGGCTGAAAATTAGAAATAAACTTTAAATAAGAATGCAACTGAAGAAGAGAGATGAGGGTCGTGGGGGCTTACAGTTAAACCTTTATGGACATATTCTGCCACACTGTCATCAAGTTTCACTAATTTCCGGCTATCCTCAGCAACTACAGGATCAGAATTCATAAAATAAGGTTCTATTTCTCCTCGGACCTCTTCTGGAATTTTAGATAACCTTCTAGTCAGTTTATTCATCATCACCCACACACTGCAGATCACCAAAACCAAAATCAAAACAGAGGGAACCCAGATAAGTCACTCCTGAAACACCATTCAATAGCATACAAGCACACAGAGAAAAAGAACAATCACTCTATGTTGCCAGGGAAACCAAAATCTCAATCCATTTACCAAATGAGGATTTTAAAAATGCTTGCAAAACAAAATTTGAAATATTTTAGGATCAATAATATCCAATTTTGGCTATTCCCATGTTTATCTTTGGAGTAGAACAAGATCATGACACAGCATCAGATTATATCATGATTCATGATACAATACAAATGAATGTGATCCCTTCATGCTGGTGTCAGAAGATCATCTCATCAATTGTTTAAAGGTAGGAGTAAAAGCCAGCCATGAGAACAAGAAGCAATTTCCTAAACAATGCCCTACCTTGAGGCTCTTGTTAAAATTTCACCAGTTTTACTATCGCTGACAAGCCAATCTCTTCGCATGCCATTCTTTCCTGATGCACTGACCCAAGTGTCTACTTGAACAATATCACCCCTGCAAAAAAGACATAAATAAGTCAAATGTTCATTACTATCAAATTCCATAACACTCCTAATACGTCTTACTAATTTTTTGTGATATAAAAAGCAACGAGGCTCCACAAAATTCATTCATTCAAGCATGAGCTGGAATAGACAAGCATATAGCTTCCTAACAAGAACTATATTGTCGCCCCACTCCTTCCTGTTCTCTTTCTCTTTTTTCTTTTTTTTTCTTTTTTTTTTGGGGGGGGGGGTAATAAGCCCTAATACTTGCAAATCTTATAAAACGTGTGATCCACAATATTTTAATGGTCTCCAAAAGCTTCACCTTATAAATTTAGTAGGCATCCATCAAATAGAGGGAAAATGCAGCACTCATAATATTATTATATTAAACTTCAAAACCCTAACTAATGCCTATATAACCACAGAACAGGCCAAGTTTATAAAATAAGCAACCTATAACCTACCCATCCCACCCCAGGGTGAAATATAACCATGGTTTGCTTCAATATACGATATCAGTTTCAGTAGCATGCGAACACCAGTCAACTGACAAAATACTATAGCCAATATTAAGTGAATGGTATTTTGAACAACAATAACTTACCAAGTGCCTAAAGCAAGAAAAGCATGGAGATAATGCATAGGTGCCAGAATGAAAAATGAGAGCGAAAATATTAACATGAAAAAGGTTCATAAATTAAGGTTCCATTCTTTAGGTATTAAGTAAGGACTCTCACCAAACAAAGAACCATAATGGATTCAATTTTTAAAGAATCATAAATAAAGGTACCACTCTTTAGGCGTAATATCATTGCTGGAGACTGGCTTCTATCATCCTCAACTTCAGATCTTAACCTTTTAGCTTAAGTAAGAAAATAGATACATGTTTTAATGGAACAAACTTGAGTACATACGATGCAATACAAAGATCATTTGCCTAATCCTGAATATTAACCTTCACATCATTGAAAATGGTCCTTAGAAACACATCAGTACACAATAGTCCAAATATAAGGGTTGAACTTGCCCATAGCTGTTTCTGTATCTTCCAAGCAAAAGAAACAACTATGGGTGGAATTCAAGAACTTAACTAGTTAGTATCAAAACACATGCCTCAATGGCATCACATTTTGTAATGTATCCTCATAAATATCATCATGATACACATATAAAACCACAACCACTCAGGTAAAGCACAAGTAGCTTATCATCAATTGTTGATATAAGAGCAAACCATGAGCAAGAAAGTATGTCATACCAAGTAGGATAGCGATCAACCACAACTTGCATCCGAGTGACCACCCATATTAGGTTCTTCTTGCACATCTCAGGAGTTACACCAAAACCATCTCCAAGCAGTCCAGCACCTCTACAATGATTAATAGCCGTTTCCTGCCAAAGAAGAGATACATTAATTAAAAAAAGCTTAGGCAATATATCAACATGAAAACCCAGTAAATATAAATTTTACTTCCTAAACATAAGTTATTCAAACATTCTAACCAAATAACTATAACCAAACCTGTAAATGATTCATTAGCGTCTCTATGGATGCTGTACGATCAGCACCTATCTCATAAGACCTAATCGAGAAGTTCTGACGGAAAACAAGACCATCCTGAACAATCCTCCCTATACCAAATGGATCAATGAGCATGTCAGATCGCCTCGGCTTCCAATCAAGCATCATCCACTGCTTCTCAGCAGCCAGGAAAATGGTTGTGATAGCAGCAAGAAGCATGCTCCAATCAGGCAACTGATTGATAAACGTCCTGGGAGGAGGGGAAATCACAACATCTTCTTTCTTGAAACCTTCCACTGGAGCTGTAACTGCAGTACCATTTATTTTTGGAGGGGCTTGAGCATTTGCCTTGACTTGCAAACTTCTAGAAGATGCAGACAGTTTCGACTTGATATCTCCAAGGTTAGTAGATCCACTTCCAAGCTTCTTGTTTTTCGAGTCAGAGGAGGCTGAGGGAGAAATGACTGAAAAGAATGCGGATGTTGCGGCAGTTGCAACCATGATTTTTTTAATTAAAAAGAACTATTATCCGCTCAAATTCCCTCTTTAGCAAACTGTAAGCTTTTTAGAAAAACAGCTGATGCATGCTCCAACTGTATCACATAATAAAGAATCACGCGTTAACAAATTCAGATAATCACAAAATCCTCAAATTATGGCTATAATGAAGGTTACACTTTCAATATTTCAAAGCAGGTTTCAGCCTTTTCTTCCCCAAAAGAAGAAAGAATTTCCAAAATGGTAAAGAATTTCTTTCTTCTTTCTTTTTTTTCAAAGTGCAGCATCCAATTTAGCTTTCTCCATAATCTAATCAAAGGAAAGAAAAATATATTTTTGAAAAATAAATAAGTTCTTCATTTCTAAAAATCTGGAGATAAAAAGAAGTACCAGATGCTCAAAAGAAACTATGAAGTTCAATCTTCTAAAAAACACAGCAATTTAACGGAAAGCGTCACAGTGAATATGCCAAAAAAAAATCCTAATCAGCGACGAAGACATTATGTTGCTAAAAGGAAGTGAAATCACTAAAAACAAAAAACCCCAAAGCAGATCTCGGCCGTAAAAAGTTTTAACAACAAAAAGCCAAAATAATTAAAATAAACGACAGAGAAAATAGCAAATAATTCATGAACACGTATCAGCTTTCGTATGCGTTAAAATACAGAACGAAACATTGCCTCAACAATCTTTTACGTTTCCCCGTTCCAGAAAATTACAATAAAAACCACAGAACACAGAAATGGCGACGAGAAAATAGACAGGCGGAAAAAAATTAACCATTTTGACCTGCATTTGGTTGCCGATAGAATATTAGATCTCCTATGAGAAAACAACAAAACATAAAAACGAAGTGACATCCAAAATTTTCCTTTACATTCTTCGGAACCAAACAGAGCCAGCAAACTTAGATCAAACAAAAAATGAGAGAAAAAAACAAAAACACCTAAAACCTCCACGACCGTACCTCAACCAAAAAGAATCAATTGAGGGGAAATTTTCTCGAGAGAATAAACAAAGAGGAGAAACTCGTGTGTTATTTTGGATCGGCAAAAAACTCCACGCCCGTACCTCAGCCAAAAAAAAAAAAACGAGGGGAAATTTTCTCGAGAAAAAAAGAAAGAGGAGAAACTCTTGTGTTATTTTGGAACTGCAAACCCTTCTTGGTAGTTCTAGGGCTCGCGATCTAGCACTATTTCTCCTTCCCCTCTTCTCCGCTGTCTTTGTTTTTTTTTTTTCTCTCCTTTTGGCCTTTTGAAATGTTGTTTCAGTTTCTAAATGCGGAGAAATAAAGAAAAACAAAATTTAAAACAAAAAGAAAGCTTTGAGAGAGAGAGAGAATCTATGGCCAGCGATTTACTGCGTGGCAGGCAATTGCCGAATTGGCGTCCAGCGACCCCTTTTTAAAGTGTACATCTGTCCCTTCGGCTCCTAGTTTTCCTCTTTTTTTAATTTCTAATTTTATAAACATTATTTTCTCTTATTTACTATGTTGCCCTTGCTCCTTAATTAGTTTTGTTTGCATTAGTAATATTATTATTATTGCTGACAAAATTTGTTGGGAGATTGAATTTCGTAGTACGTAATGTAGTGGATTTTTATTTCATTTCATTCGGGACTTTCATTTGTTTTTTTTTTTTTTTTTTTTTTTGAGTCTCCTTTATTAGTTTCCTTTCTGTGTTGAAATAATTGACCTTCTTTGTTATCAAATTTGAGGGCATTTTTACTTTTATTTTTTTACTTTTACAAAATAGTTATGTTTTGGTCAATTTTTATTTTATTATTTAATAATTATTTATACCATATCTATATTAATTTTGAAAAAAAAAATTTTTCTTGATGCACCTGATATTGTATTCTTTTTTTTACCTATCTTACTTCTACTAATAAAAAAATAAAATACGCAAGTGAATTAAAAATATATAATTTTGAATTCAAATTTTAATTTAATTAATTTATATAATTATTTTTAAAATATTATATTCAAAATTCTAATCTTTACTATTTCTTTCCTTATTTTTAAGTAATTAAATTCTTTATAAAAAATATAAAATCTTAAAGCATCTTACAAAAAAAAAAAAAAAGAAATTCAATAGAATGCGAACTAAATATTTTGAAAAGAATGTTAGCTCCCCGATTATAGCATGGCATGATCAATTTCTAGAATCATTTCAAAGGTTTCGAAAATAAATTTTGAAAAGGAAGTAGCCTAATAGTCAATTACCTAAAAGCAATAAAATTATCATATTTTTTAATTTTAATATACTCTCAACTCTTAAAAAACCTCTCATATCCTTATTTATTTAAGATATTATATATTTAAATTCTCTCAAATTTATAAACTTTATAAATTTAACCGATATGCATATCATTTAAAATAAAATATATATATATATGTTTTTTCCGATTGCATTACATAAAATTATTGAATTCGTTTTTAAATTCAAACACTTTCGAAAATATTAATTTAAAAGGGTTTGTTACATTTGTATGACATTCTCAACAATAAAAGAAAATTATTTATAAAAATGAGGAGAGCCATGGCACTTGAAGTAAAAGAATCTGCACTCAATTATTTTCAGTTGCACCACATCGATTGAAACAAAATCAAGAGGAAATCATAAAACATTAAAATTCACTTCAAAAGACAATGAAGCTTAACTTATAAATAATAATGTATATGCCAACCCATTTATTCATTTATTTATATATAAATATATTCATAATGTAGTATAAAATAAAATAAAAATCTTATCTTGAATCATGATTTTAATTCAAACGATTTATTTAGTTATTTAAAATATCAAATTATTTATAAGATAAAAGTTTAAATCATGTTTATCTCTCTATAGTCTTGATATATATATAAATAATAATATTTTAAATACTAATATTTATTAATTAATAAAATTATATACTTTGATTAATTAATAATATATAAAATTTATATACCGATAATATAGTATATATAAACTCGATATATAAATTATGTTTTTGTAATTAACTCTTGGAAGGTAATACAAGCATAGAAGTTTTAGGCGATGGCTTCATGGAGAAAATTAAGGAATTAAACTAAAGTAAAATATATAACTTGTGGGCATGATTTCTTTTCAAGCTGGACTAGAAATAAATTAAAATTAACAATTTTTTTTCTCCATAACCCAAATTATTTTGAGTCAGGGATGCGAATCGATATTCAAATTGGAATTTTCTTTCTCTTATTTTATTATAAATTATAAGCAGTGAATTTGGCTTTCATACGTCAAATTTGACTAGAAAAAAAAAATGGTTAGAAATGGAGGAGAGTAGTTGAACTAAATAAAAATAAAAAAGCTATGATCTCCTGTTTGGCAAAGTTTCGACTTGTCACGCCTTTTATTACGGTCAAATTGCGTCTACGGTCTCCAGTTTCTTTTCTATCTTCTTTTCAAAGCCAACCCCTTCCGGAAACAACGATTGTTTGAAAATTCATTTCAACAAATTATTTCTTTAATCAATAATATTACTCCTATATTTTAGAATCTTTGCTAACAATAAAATAATAATTTTAATTTTTTTCAAGTGTATATAATGGTTAAAAAAATAAAATAATAATTATTTTATATTATATTTAATTTAAATTTAAAAAATAAAATCGCAAGGAACATTAAGTATTTTTTTAATATATAACAATTTCATTCTCTTAAAATAAAAAAAATGAGATTTAATTTACATATTTTATTATATTTTTAAAAATTATATTAATAATTTAAATTATACAAAATTTAATAAAAAATAATTTTAATCAATATATAAAATTATTTTATATTAATTTATATATATCAAATATAAAATAAAATAATATTATTTAATTTAATTTAATTATATTTATAATATTATTTTATCTTATGTTATTATTATCATAAACACTCAAATACAATCTTATTCTCAATTCTTAACACTAAACTTTAAAATAAATTTCTTTTATTTTCTTTTTCTTGATACCTAAAAAGGGCTAGGCCTAGAAATTGTAGGAAAAAAGTGAAAAATCAAGGCTATCGAATTATATGGCCTAACGAAAAACCAGCCATAGAGGTTTTAATTAAGAGTAGTTAATTAATAATAATTATTAAATCAATTAAATATCAAAAGAGACTTTTTTTAAAGGAGATTTTGTAAGTTATCAATAAATTGTTAATCCAATAATATTAAAATTAATTTTAAAATTGAAAGTTTCAAATTTAATATTCAACTGTAATTTAAAAACAAAAAAAAAAGACTTCATAAATTTTAATAAAAAAATTAAAAAAAAGAAGGAAATAAAAAATATTTTTATTTACTTAAAGAAACCAATTACGAAAATAAAAATTTGGATTATTTAGAAGGGACAGGTCGGTAAACTAAAATTTTTGTCGTGTTTGGTGATTGAGGCAGCTGTTTTTTTTTTCATTAAAAAAAAAAAGAGAAGTGGAAGGAAGCTTCGGTTAAGGTTTAACTTAGCAGCTGCCTTTTCTTTTATTTAAAAAAAAAAAGTGGAAGGAAGCTTCGGTTAAGGCTTGACTTAAAATCCGGAGGCTTCTAATTGCGGTGCCACATGTTTCCTTTTTACCAAATAGTGGCAGTCTCGTTATTGTTAGAGTTTAGTAAGAGTAACATCGTAAAGTTGGAAACATTTGAGGGGAGAGCCGTTAACGAGGCTTTGAATACGTTACAAGCTGGGGTACTTTTTTAATGGTCCCGTTGCCCGTTGAATGCAGGATGGAAGGAGCATGCCTTAATATTTCAATTTACAGCCTGTAAATAAATTACTATTTTTGGAGTATAAAATATTTATTTATTTAATTTTTTTGTTCTATTGTTAATCTCTTATCCTATTTTTAAAATTTTTTTTACTTATTTGAAAAATACATTATAAGCATAAATTTTCAAAACACAAAATTTAAAAACCATATAATTTCAAATACACAATTTTCAAAAAGCTTAAAGCATATAATGTTAGTTGAACTATATTAAGAAGTTAATCCCACTTTCTTGATCTTTGGATCATTATAGTGAAATTCAAAGCAAAATGGAAGTGCAATTCAATAGAAATGTTTTAGGGTTTTGGTTGTTGTAAAATTTGTACTATTATGGATATTTAAGCATAATCTTAATCTCCAATACGCAAATGCATGGGAAATTCTTTTTTTTTTGTACATTTCTTTTACAAACTAAATTTTGATACACAATTTATTTAAAATAAAGAAATAGAAAGATGTGAATTATTTTTATTAAAAAAATATATTTAAAGTCATAAAAGAAATGTTATATGCATTTAGGGTTGGTAATCCAACATAAATTCATTGAGTTTTGATTTGATCCAATTTTATAAGATCCGATTTTTTTTTTAAATCAAAATCAAATGTTAAATAAATTAATATTGACTCGATATGCATATAAAATATTTTTTATTATTTATTTAATTATATATTTTATATTTATTTAAAATAATATTTTATTAATTTAAAATAAAATCAATTAAGATTTTATATATACATTAATCAAATTGAATTAAATTAAAAATTAATACTTAAATATTAAATTAAAACAAATATTTATTATATAAAATTAAAAATAATTCAAAAAGTTTTTTTTTCTCAATCCAATCCACCGTCTTTTATAGGCACCTCACATGGGCTTTCATTTGACCACTTCTTGATGGCGTGGCTAGCTTGACGTTCCTAGGCAAGCAATGCTTGCAATGGACGAAACTAATTACGGCTGAAGATATGGTTAGCTTGGGATTACCAACTAAGTCGTCGTCATCATCATCAAAAGCCAGGCAAATGCAAATCAATAAAATTTGCGATGGCAGCTGGCTAGCTCTTTGAGTCTTGCAATTGGCCCATCACTTTATCAAAATCTTGTCTCATGAGTTTGTCTTGTGGAAGACATTAATTAAGTGTAAGAGAAATTGGAGCTGTTCAACGATTATGAACTATGAATGATAACGCTGCTAAAAAAGGCGAAATTAAATTAGACTTTTATCGTTAATCTATGTATCAATTTCAATATATTTAGGTTGAATTTGGTCGTCACTTGTCAACAAGCTTTTAAATTACGAAACCTTAATTATATTGTAAATTTTCCATTTTAGAGCCGAGTTTATATATTTTTTATAGTATTTTCAAGAGTTAATATGTTGGCATTTATATTTTTATTTAGTTAAAGAAAATATTCTATATAATAGTTCTATTAAGTAGATAGTTCAAATAATATATATATTTATAAAAAAGGTTATAGTTTTGAGAATAAAAAAAAATGTTATAGATATTGAGATTTTAATTTTAAATATATTAAAAATTATTTTTTAAAAATAATTATATAAATTAATTGAATTAAATTATAAATCAATTGAATATTTATCCATGCTTTTTATGTTTGTTGTCAGGTTATTCTGCAAGTGTCATAAGTCTCGGTTTATTCTGTAGATAACAAGTGTTGGGGGCGGAATAAGTTATAAGGCAACAAGTCAAACTTGACCCCTATCCCTCGGGCATTGAATCTCTGGCCTTAGCCTGCCTGCCAGTCTTGATCTCTTGCAAGAACAAAGGGAAGCACTAAGAAACTATTTCATGACTTGCACCATAGAGCATCCGTCGACAAAAGGATCACCCTATGATAATCATCTCATGGCTATTAAGAACGAATCATCTGGTATGATTCTCTTTCTCAATATTTCTGACTTGCTCCTACGGAACCAAGGTAAAAAAAAAGGAAGATGAGTTCTTCTTTACCAAAGCCGAAAGGAAGCAGCAAGTCGTAACAAACAGACCTACTACTCAAGTCGAGGGGTCTACTAGCTTTAAAGCAAGGACCATATAGAGCTGGATAACCATACGTGCTATATCCATGTAAGGTTAAGATTTTGTAGAAAATTTATTAGTAACAAAACTGTGTTTGAATTTGAGAAGTTGTGTCACTTTCATATATATTGCAAACAAAGACATCTCACCCGATTGCAATTAAATCCTTGTAGGCATCCCCAAATACTTTTTTTTTTCATCTATATTATATATTAATGATAAAATTTTTGTTAATATTTTTATTAAAAATATTTATTTAATAAATATATTAAATTTTAAAAAAAAATTTTAAATTTTATACGCTTTATTTATGTGATGAGATCTTTTAATATATTTATTTTAATATTTAATTTAATTTTTATTTACTTACTCATTTTTAATAAAAAATTTCATGTACTTCACTTACAAAAACTTCACGTAAATATTTTTCTAGTCAATTAAGCATCTCATTTGCCAAGCCAAGCCACACACAACCTTATTAGCAATGAGAATCAATATAAGATGCTATCTTGGAATCCAAAATTTAATTAGTTATATATATATAGTTTTAATATTTAAATTTTGATCACTGAAATTAAAAATTTTGCACACGATTGTAGATAATTTCATAATCATGATACGAGCTTGAATAATTAAATTAAAAATAAAAAGAGTTTATAATTTTATTTATTTGTAAAAATATATGTTTGTATTTATAACATGAATTAATGAAGTATATATTATAGTTTTTATATTCGTATGTATGAACTTTTTGTAGAATATTTTTATATAATATGATACAAAAATTAGTTTATGGTTGCATTAACTCAAAACAACTGGTTGTTCCTAAATTAGTTTATACTTTTTTTATCCTGTTGATGAAAAAATCTAGGGTGATCATTAATCTTATGTGCCATGGCCCTTGAAGGCGTGGACATATGGGTTTAAAGGATATAACTCTTTGATAAAAAGTTATTAGATTCGAGTCTTGTAGATAATTTTTTATTTAAATTATCTCAAATATATGATTTATAATAATTTATTTTAATTTATTAAAGATGATATTTATTTTTGTGTACGAAAAATTCAGAATATATAGGTTATTCGTTGACAAGCGTTTTGTATATTAAAAAAAAAAAAAAAACAGTGTTTGAATTGACATGTTAAATGATAAAAAAAGAACATAAAGAATTGAGATGTGAATGTCATGGGATTGATATGTAGTGGACATGTTTTTGTTATAAAAAATTTGTAATTTTGGGATAGTAGAAAAAAAAAAAAGTGGGATCTTATTAAATATTAAATTTTAAAATTAATTGTATAAATTAATTTAATTAAATTTTGGATTGAATTGATGCATATGTTTTCGAGAGTTATATAACAATTATCAAAACCATGTTATTACCAAATAAGCACTTGCTTGTATATATACAAGTTTTCGATCTGTTCATAAAATTATTTTAATTAATTAAGTTTAAAAAAGTTACCTTTTTTTAATTCTAAATTTATATGGTATAATTACTTAAATTGGAAATCAAAGTATAAATAAAAAAAATCTTCTTATATAATTATATTTAAAATTGGAGAGTATATTTTATTTTTATTTTTTTTCAATATCTTATAGATTGTATTTAGTAACTTAAATTTAAAAGAAAATATCTGGATGTTAAATTTAGTTAAAAATAGTAAAATGTATGATAAAACACACATGTAAATATGAACATTATTTCATGATTATTTTTCAAATTTAAAGATTTATTAGATGTTATTAAGTAGTAAGTTTGAAATAATTATATGTATTAATGAATTTAAATTTTATTTTTTATATCTTTTAAATTAAATCAATAATCATATTGAATCTTATTAATTCGTGTATATTGCGTACATTTTATTCTTACAATTTATATAACAAATAAAATCCGAATCTACTTTTTTAAATTCACATTTTAAAGCATAACAATGTATTTTTTATTAGACAATCACTTATTTTAAAATAAATTATTTTAATCTTTTACAAATTTATAAACAAAAGACATAAAAAAGATATATAATATAAGAAAATATGTTAAAATTAATTTTAAATTTTATTTTGATATTTACAACCTAATAATTTGATTACGGTCACGTCAAATAACCATTAAATAATCAATTTTAAAAATTTATTAAAAGCTTATACTTATTCATTGATTACATTTTTCTACTTCTATATAAATGCATTTTAATAGATAATTTTAGATTTTTTTTAAATATTTGTGATTAACAGAATTTAAACCTTAATCACTAGAACTAAAAATTCAACATTCTATTAATAATCTATGCGGTTGTTGGTTATTTTAAAATTATATTTGATTCTATATTATAAATATAAAAGACTGCATAATATAAAAATCAAATCAAGATTAGAGTATTTGTTACATGAGATGGATTTAGTAATTTATATAATATTTATCTAAATTTTAGAAAATTTGCAGGATTTTCCACAGGAGAAAGAAGAAACAATGAAGTGGTTTTCTTCTGTGAGAACAAAAGTGTAGTGTTAATAGTCGCATTCACAAAAAACCATTTACGGATGTTTATTTCCTTCCCATTAACAAAACGAAGAGAGGGTACAAGTTCATATGCGAGAAGCAAAAATGAAAAGCAAAAGCCAATGCTCTTTGCCACTTTACCTTACAGGCTGCTGATTGTAGTGATTCTTCTCCTTTTTCTTTGCAGCAGCAAGCCTTGTACTCCTTGCAGCAGCCTCACTGGCAGCCGCTCTTGCAGCAGCATCCATCTCTTTACTTGATTTTTTCTTTTTTGTAGAAACTACTTTTTTCAGCCGCTCTTTCACATCAACAGCGGATATATCTTCTGGCATTTTAGTTTCATCAGTTTCTTCAGGCTGGCCCTGCGATGATTCTGTCACCTCCTTTGATGATTTATCCTTCTTTTTCTTCTTTTTGGCACTTTTGCTCTCTGCAGGAGCATTCTCTTTCTTTTCTATATCCCCATTCCTCTCTGCATTTTTCCCCTGTGCAATGCCTGCAATCAGGAAAAAGAGCATTTCACGTAAGAAAAACTACTCTGTAATCGATGAAGAAAGCAATAAACATCGGAATAGTAAAGAACAACCACCACTTGCAGTAAGAGTCTCAGTTACAAGTTGTAAGGCATGGAAATATATGGCATTTTCAACCCATTACATTCTCAGATAAAAGCTGAAGAACATACTAGCAAAACTTGCCATGTCAGTCTTGTACTACAGCTAGTAGGTGATACAGTGGGAGAACGTGGAAAGCAAACCACTTTAGGCAAGAGACATAACAAACATTAAGAGTTTACCAGACACAACTTAACCGGACATATAACAAATGAACCAGACACAGCTTATGAAAGCATTTCATTCTTGAAAGGTAATTAAACACTCCAATTTTCATAGTGGATATATTTTTTTCTTCTACCTATTTCAGAATTAAAATTATGTTCCATTGCAAAGAAATCAGACTAAACATCTATCTGAGAATGAGGAGAGACTGATATGTTTATGCACAATAAGCTAAATTACCATGGGAGTCATTTGGGCCACTTGTCTCCTCTTTGGTATATCCTAACTCAGCAAGAACAGCATCCAGTTCCTCAAGCCCTTTCTTCTTCAGTTCCTTCTTTGAAAGCTGTCTTTCTGTCTCTTTAGTGAAAGTAGAGGCTTCAGGAGGCTTGTTAACAACTGGCTGCGCTTCTACCTGGGCCTCAGCTTCATTTTCATGCTCTTCTTCAACATCATCATCAACTTCATCAATACCTTCTTCCTCACTTTCACTTTCCTGCAATGCAAAATAAAATAAATGTAACTACCTAACTGATAAAAACCAAGTACTGATGGCATTCAGAAGACATTTAGGTACTAAAAACCAGGTCGATGATATCCTTTTCATGTTTTTAGAATTTCTTTACCTCAAATGGAAATATAGTTGTAAAATATAGTTTACAAAATACTGAAGATAACATTCACAACATCAATTTAAAGAGGGGAACAGGGTAACCCTGCACACCCACCATTCCCCCCCTCTGTCTCCTATAAACTACTGTTTGACATTACTCAGTGACATTTGTCATTAAGATTGTAACTGCTGCTCTTTTTGCCAACTAGCATCATTTTAATCAATACCAACTTAACGAAGACAGTCTAGCTGCAATCAACAAGGAAAACAATTAATTAGGATCTAAGATTTTCCCCATTATGAATTATACAAATATAAATATCTTTTCCCATGACAGAATCTTTTTAGGCATCTAGTCACATATTAATCCACATTATGTTTTAAAATTTATGTTCAAATATCACACAAGATAATGACTTAGTTTATCAGAAATTTTGCATCTGGCATTTGATATCAAATGCCCGTGAATAGCTGAAGAATAACCTACAATCTCATAAGGAACTTTTCTAGAATATTGATGGAAACTTTTGATAGCAAAGCATTAATTTCATTTTTGCAATAAACATCTTATAGCTCAAATTGCAACAACAACAACAACAATAATAATGTAAGTTCAAAAGATTTACTACGGGAAGGCATTCAATACTTTCAGCTGATATAGAAGCAGAGGATAGCATCAGGTCAACCAGCAATATATACCCCAAAGAGTTTCCCCTATCTATACATGCTGAATTCGTACCCATATGTCGAATCTGACAAGCTATATGACAACATCTCATACATCTGTCCTAATAGCAAAACAACAAACTAATCTAAAAGTTCAATGTGATGACAATCAAATTACTTGATATAACTGAAAATAATCAAAACAACAAAAAAAAGACCAAATACAAGTGCAAAATAAATTAATTGGCATCAACCCTCAAACACAGGACATTGAACACATGTTCAATTTGAGAATCAAATTTAGTTTTGTATAACTAAATGATCAGATCTCAGAAGAATGACAGAAAATCCTCATCCGAAGTTAAATGTGATGACAGCAAAATATGCATACACACACGTGTATAGCAGGTAGAGTGGAACCTCAAACGCATGACATCATTCACATGTTAGCTTTGAGAATCAAGTTTAATTTCATACAACTAAAAGACCAGAGGAATGATCATAGCAAGAGAACTATTCATCAGCATCTTATGGATCTGGAAGCAAAAAAAATATATAACTTGGCAACTACAGCTTGTTGTTATCAACATCATTTATTCAATAAACATAAAAGGCATATGGATATAAGCAATTTCTTTTAAAAGAAAATATCCCTCTTTGGCAAAAAAGAAGAAGGAAGAAACTGATTGCTTTTGAAAGCAATGCAAAAGAGAAACCTATATGGATCCTCCATAGAGAATTCATCATCATGATATTTATAAATCCACAAGTATTCTTGCGTCCATAGTAAAAAATTCATTTCCTAGTGTCTAGCACAAAAAGATAAAACAACTGCAAGAAATTAGTCAAAAGCACAGACAATTAAATCATTTTCCTGCACAAACAATTTCCTTTAAAAGGAAGCATAATCATCAGTCATTCATAGTCTAACTTCTTGGCAGAAAAAAAAAAATCCAAAACCCACAATTAGTACAATAAAAAAAATTATATCTTATAAAAAAAGGTTAGCATTCATGGAAAAATCATCCCCTTTGATCACCAGATAAGAGTCACACTTCATGAGGATCTTTACAAAACATAATACCACCAGAACTTTATACATGACCATACATTATATCATATTCATTATCATCAACGTCATTAACACAAAAGCAATTCCTATCATCATTTGGATAATCCAAATACCCAAAAAAAAAAGATCAAAAACAAAAATTCATCATCATCCAATAATAAAAACAATATGTTCGAACCAAAAACAAAGTCCAGACCTCTAAAGCAGGCTCAGGTTCTTTACGAGTGTCCCAAGCAGAGTCAGGGGGGTCCATGGTGGCATAATAATCATCATCATCTTCGTCATCAACGTCAGCCCAAGACCTCACCTTGAGAGGTGATGGGGCCCAGAACACCTCTTTCTTCTCCGCTTCCTTCTCTCCCCCCTTCTTCCCTTTGCTCTTAGAAGAAGAGCCCTGATGTTCCTTTTCACTTCCCTTCTTCTTCTTCTTCAAACTTCCAAGCGCCGCAAAAACATTGGTGCTGTTAATCACCAGAGAATCCTCCCTCCTGCTATTTCCTCCTCCCACCATTTTTGTTCTCTTATCCAATCCCGGAATAGAATATCCCCACCCCCGTCACCAAACAGACCCAAAAATATTTTAAAACCTCCGAATTCTAAATACAACAGTAGTTTATCAAAGAAACGATCTTTAAGCAATGAAAAATTCTGGGGTTGTAAAAAAAATTATTTTTGAGTTAAAAATTAAGAAAATTTGAGATTTTTATTAGTGGAATAAACGAGAAACTGATAAAAGAGGTTAGATTTTTTTTGGGTTTTCCCAGATGATCTGAGAAATGCCTGAACGGATTGTGAAGAACTAAAACGTTTACGTTTTGGTTCTGGAAATGGAGAAAACGAATAAAAAGAAGAAGATTAAGGCAACGTAAAGGAAGCAAAGTCTCCTTGAAACGTAGGTTTTAACTGTTTTCAAGTTTACAATATAAATAGAGAAAGGAATATGAGAACAGTCCTTTCTGTCTGGAATTTGGTTTGGATTCTTTTTTTTTCTTTTGTTAAAAAAACGTGGCGTTTGATGGGGGCCTGTCAGGGCAAATGCACGTAAATGGATTTCAAAGGTTGAGATTCTTTTTCTTTTAATTTCAAAGGTAGAAGGAGGACCGAAGCCTATGGTTTGAGATGTAGGGATACAAGTGTAGTTGGGTGAATGTGAGTCGTTTGATCAGATCAGATTGGATTTGTGGTCGGGATGAAGTGGGGCCCAAAGCCCACTGGACTTATTGGCATCTTGTTGTGGAAAAAGTAGAGGCAAACGTGTGAAACAGGAGGATAAAAAGCCAAGAAGTTTACAAGACATTTGGCTGGCATACAAACATTTTGGACCCACTTAATGTAACCGACATTTGGATAGCAGCTTGTTGTTGTTTCTCTTACTCCTCAACTTACTGTTAGAGTTTGACCTTTTTTTTTTTTAACAAAAAAAATTACGATTAGGTAATTTTCGTAACACGAACAAATTTATGATTTAAGATTTAAGGTATGATTCAAAACATAAGTAAAGTTTTATTTGCCGACTTGAAGTCAAATATTAGTCGAGAAAGGTTATTAATGATATATTATTATTTATAAATTATTTAAATTTAATTTAATTAAAATTTAAATTTATTTAATTATTATTAAATGTGATTTAAATAATTTATTGATAAAATTAAGTTTAAATATTTTAATATTTTATTTGAATGAAATGTGAATTTAATTAAATATTTAAATTTTAATATATCTTTATTATTTTGATTAAAAATTATTATTTTACTTATATATATTAATTCAAGTTCAAATTTTATCATATAATGAATTTGAAATTACGTACAAAAATTAAGTTTATTTTAATTAATAAGTTTAATCGAAAAAGTTTAATAATTTACTTTTTATATTAAATTAAATTTAAATTTTAAAATTAAAATTTAATTAAATTTAAATAAAATTTTAAATAACAAATTTCGAACTCAAATTTCGCATTATATCACCTCAACTCGATTAGGTATGGCTCAAAACATATGCAAAGCTAGAGAGTTACGGGAGTTTTGGTCAAATTTGGGTGCTGGCTGGGACCTAAAGCCATTGAAAAAGTTAAAACTTTCAAATACTTTTGGCTTGTTTGAGATAAAATCCGAAGATGGTTTTTAACTAAACAACAAATTAAGACAACGCCAACAAAATGATGCTATCTGCCATAGTTACACAATGATCAACGTTATCCGCAAGACTGAATAACTTAAAACAAATAGACATTCTTGTTTAATACCAATAATCAAGATGAAGAAAGATGCGTGGAATTGTCAAAAGTGGTTCCCACATGCTGAATGACAAAGCCATAGATTTTCCTCTTCAATTTCTCAACCTTGTCTACCAATGGCTCATCCCCATTTGCATCCGCCCCGTCTAACCAATCATTGACCCGTTTCAACTGTGATAAAACTGCTGCACAGTCCAAAGGTAATGTTTTACTACCACCAGAAGCACACTCTCCAAGCACCCTGAAACCCGCATCCAAGGACTCCTCAATGAAGCGAAGAAACCACATTTGCATCTCAGACTTCAAGTTCATTGCTAAATGCACTGTCTCTTTCATTCCCTGACCTCTAGTCCATATTGCAGTAGTGGCTTCCAGCTGTGGGAATGAACTAGCTTTGGGTTGCTTTTTGGGTGAAGCATGATGATATTGCCCTTTTGACAAACTTCTCTGCAATGCTGATGGAGACTCATTGTTCTGAGGGGTTAGAAGGGAGACTATCTCAAGATCAGTAGCCAGTGCAGCTTCAACCCATAGAGAAGAGGATTTTGAGTGCTCCGTGGAGGCGTTTTCTGTGTCAGAATTGTGGCTGGTTGCAACAGTCTCGGCGATCCCAGTGTACTTCACGACATCATCATAAATCAATAAAAATTGGTCAATGGTGGGCAAAGGATTCCCGGCCTTGGATTTAGAGGAAAGGTCTGAAAACATGCTGGAAAATATAGGGGGCATAGAATAAGGCACAGAAAATTTTGTTGAAAAAAAATATGATGCTTGGTCTAACTTATGCATAGATAGTTCATTCCCTCAATATCAAAATGCAGAAATAATTAATATCAAATAAATTAAAGTGATAATCCGACTATGAGATACCAAAAAAAAACTGATGCGTCAAGTTAGTTATCAAATTATTCATTTATATGCTAAACATTGCAACACTTAATATGACAGGCACGAGTTGCATGCATATGCACGTGTTAATGGGCACAAACCTTAAATTTCTGACAACAGACTCGGTAGCAATGGCCTCCTCCAATGCCTCTGCCGCAGCTTTAGAGGCAACAACTCTCCTTTGCATAGCCTCCTACGTTCAGAAAAAGTAGTCAAAATCCAAATTCATTCTTTAAAACCATAGCAAGATTTTAGGTATGCATACGGTTTAAACATTCCAAATCCATATCTCAGATTGTATATTTTGTTTTCATTACATCTCTGTAATCATTGGGAATAATAATGTAGATTTGTTTATCATTAAAGTGTGTTATCTATATCAGCATTCCTCCGCACCCTATTGATCAAATGCTTAAGGCAGAACTTTAGCCTTAAAAAGATCCCAGAATTATGTTGTTCGCAATCCAAATCAAACAAAGAAATGCAAAATTTATTCACATTTAAGACATAAAAAATTGACAGCATTGATCTATTTAGAGTCTGTTGGCTATGGAGAAAACTCCAATGTTACAGTGTTTTATCTAATATTTACCCCAAAACTTCTAAGTGCACAATGTCAGCATTGCAAACCTCAATGGACCTCAGCTTCATCCTTTTTCATTTTCCTTTATTTTTTTTTCTTTTGTTGGAGATATAGAGCAACAAAATAGAATATTGATTCATGGCAAATGTATCGCATCACCATTTTTTCAGTTTAGACTGGAAGATAATTTTAGAAACCAGAACCTTAAACAGATTCTAATCAAACAAAAGCACTATCTTAAATAGAAGCAAACAGAAAAGCAAAAGCACAACAGATAAATTTGCATATTTAAAGTCAAAAGACGGATTTGATTAGCTTCTTGATAATTCCCGAAACCGCTCCATACCTTTCCAAGCTTTGCAAGTTCAGCAGAAAGGGTATCCCATGAAACACTGCCATCAGTCCATTTCTTATCATGAATGGTGATTCCCAAAAGCCCACCCTCACATGTTGATTTCTCTGGGGCCGAACCTTCTTCAGGTGGGCTAGCTTTTGTTTTCCCATTGCTTGAAGAATTTTCATCATTGGATTTCTGACTATTTGCATCACTTAAACGTCTAGAAATGGCCGCCTGGAAAAAAATATATATCATGTCTAAAAGTCAGAAATCATGCATCATAGAAACACATATAACTCAAATTCTACAGAATAATCTTATAAATGAAATTTCTAATCTATTACTATATAAAATTTTCACATTCTCATTCTTGATTTCTCGAAAGCATAAGGTTGATTTTGTTTCCACTTTCATTAAATAGCAATCCGAAAAGGTTTGTTGAAAAAATTTTAACATTTCACTCTTAAAACCCATTGTGGTACATTTTCAGGCGAATAATTAGTAGTTGAAATAAGAATAAAAAGATTCTGCCTAATGCAATGACATATCAACTTCAAATACGCCTCAACTTTGATTTCTCCGTGGGATTTTAGTGATTAATTAATCCACCTAGCAACTTAAGAAGGTTAATTTAGTTACCTGAGTCCTCAAAATTGCTTGCAGATCCGGCTTAGTCTTAACAGAAGTTTTCTCCTTTTGTTCTCCTGAACCTTTCTCTGGCTGCTCATCCAAGTTCTTCCTATTACTCTTGGCTGACCCCACTAGAGCTTCTGAGACCTTCGAAATCCCAGCAACAATCGTTGCCATCCTCTTCTTTGAATCTCCTACAGAGGGCGAAACCTTCAACCCTCCAGACAACCTCCTCCCTGGAGAAAGCGATACTCTTCGAGCAGTCGGTGATGCCTGCTTCCTTCCGTTAGGCGAAGGTTGCCTATACCTTGACGGTACTATGATCGCCGGCTCTCTCGCCACTTTCCTATTCTCTTCCTTCGCTGCCACCAAGCTCGGTACCACGCATTTTGACGGTACCGGAGATGCAGATCTCTTCCCTGTCCCAGCCGGAGATGGATCTCTTTCCACAACCGTCGCGTTGGTTTTTTTAACAGCTGAAAAGGAACGTTTGGCCATGGCCGGAGATGAAAATCTTTGTGGAGGCTTTTCTGAAACCTTGGATTCAGATTCCAAATTTTCATTGACTTTAACATTATCTCTGGGGGCGAGAGGCTGCCTTGTTTTCAGCTTTTCGATTCTCGAATCCTTGTTTTCAATTGGAGTTTGCTGTTGCTCCAATTTCTTGTTAGACAAGTAAACCGCAATCGGATCCACGGAGTATTCGGATTCAGGTACGGGTTGTATAACGAAATCCCTTTTGGAAGAGGAAATGCGGGCGATGAGAGGGTCAGGGGAACCAACGAAAGGATGGCGACCTGCAATTGGGCGAATGCCGGAGACAAGTGGCACGGGGGAGTCAAAATGGAAGCGGTCAACGTAGACGAACTGGCCAAGCTGGAGCCGGTTGGAGAGGATTAATTCCGTATCGCGCTCGGAGAGAGAAACGTAGGTGGAGTTGAGGGAATCTGAGAGTTGAACGTAGAAGCCGTGGTTGGGCCAGAGATCGGAACCTGCTAGAGCTGGGACGATACCAATTACTTGGAGGAGAGCGGAGCGGTGGTCGCCGGTAACGCGGGTGGGGGAGTTCATGGATTGGAGGAGCTTTAGGAGGATTCCTGGAGTAAGCGAAGCCATAGCGAGGGGGGAGTGGGATTGGGTTGCTGAGGGAAGGGAAGAGGGGGAGAGTAAAGAGGAGGAAAAGGTAGAATTCAACCGTTAAAAATTACGAGATTCAAATTCAAAAGGCCGCTAATATTATTTTCTATACTTTGAATTCAAATGGGACAGGTCGCTATTACCCCTACCGTCACTAGGAATATATAAGCATTTGATATTGAAATCGACATTATTTACTTCATGTTCCATTGTTTTTAATTTATTTATTTTTGGATTTTATTTTTATTAAGTAATAACATTACTTAAAATTATTTTAAATACCCACTAGTCCAATTAGTACAAGAAAAATTTCATTTCATCTTCAATTAGAGTTTGATTGTTACGAAAAATACTTTAAAATAAAATTTAAATTTATATGAAAGAGTACATCTTTAATATGCCGTTCGTTACTATTTATTTATTTTATATTGATTTTTACGAAGTTTAAACAAAAATTTAACTTAAAGATATTTAATATCAAATTTTAATTTTTTTATAAAATTAAAATTTTATAATTTTTAATATTAAAAGTAAAAAAATCATAAAATATAATTTTAAAATATAAAAATCCGGCTCTTCTCATTTGTTGGCGTGAAGTTCCGAATTAAGGATCAAAACCTTAAAATCATAAGAAAAAAAAAGGGACAGTTATGATAGATGTAAAAAATATTCTTTATATTTATATTTTAGTGATGTAATCAAATTGATGTGTTATTGTATATATCAAATTGACACATGATTATCTACTAACAATTTTTAATAAAAGAATGATCAATATGCTGTTTGGACAAAAAAAATATCACTAACATCACCTAATTAAGTTGATTAATAAAAGAATTATTCACATATTTCATCGGAACACAACTATGAACTGGCTGAGATTGAATAAACTTTTGTCAATTACTGTTTTAATCATCGATATTTTGTTATTTACACTTTGCTCCTCTGGATTTGGCATACAAATGGTTGACCCTGAATCCTTGATCCAATCCCATCCTTCCTGACCCCATGGGTAGTCCTAGTTTCCTAACATATATCCTTCCTTACAGTTTGATCTTGTTTTCCAGCAGGAGAACAAGAAAAAGTTGCCAGCGCTTGAATTCCTTGACCTTTCTCGAATTCCTCAGCTCTTAATCTCATTTGAATCTTGAGACCCAGATTTGTTTTCTAAGTTGCAATAGATGCCTGGGAAACAGGTTCTGTCTTGCTGAAGGAGAACTCAATCTGACATAGAATGATCATGCCAACACAAAAGCATGGCGATACAACGTCCGAGGATGTAAAACCGAGTTTTCTCTTTCTTTGCCATCAACAAACAGCGCTTTCGAAAACTGGGTTTTCGAGACCTGCAGCAACGATTCGATTTGGAGCTTGAAAGAAAGCAAGGAGTTGTAGACATGGCGGCTGACAGTCTTGAAGATTTTGGTTGATGATTTGATTCTGCTTTGGAGCACGACTGCTTTAAGCTACTTAAAGCATAGAAGCGTTTGACGATTGTGTTTGTGTGTGTGGTGGTCCCCTTTTATTTCTGTCATTTCCTACAAGCTAACCTTTCCAGTGTATGACATCATCGCCCATACTGCAACTTTGGTATTTTTGCCCTTTTCCTTTCGTATTAAGAAACTAGTTTGTAACCGATGGCATGGATTATTTTATTTATTTAAATATGTATTTATACAGTAAAATTTATATATTTTTCTTTTTACAATTGTATCTAAGTTTAAAATTTTATAACGAATATAAAATGTAAATATATATATTCAATTAACATGTTATAAGAAAATTAAAATTTATTATTAGTATCTTAATCAAAATGTTGAAAATAAATGTAAAAAATAAGAGATATTAGATATGGATTAGAAAGTAAAAATAATTGAATGTAAATATAATATTGATGTTTTAGGAGAACATATATATTGAATGATCAATTAAATAATAAAAGAAGTGTTGACATATCTTTAATAAATTATGATTTTGATCAAAATATTAAAAAAAATCAATCAAGAAATGTGTGACAAATAAAAAAAATTAAATAAAAAAATGTCAAAAGAAGAAATCATCTAAATAAAATAAACAATAAAATTACAAAAATATCCCCAAACATTTAATCTAGTAGCTAAAAGCGCTTAAAAAGACATCAAAAATTTGATTTCGAGTCAGGTTTTCTCATTTCTTCTTACTTGTACTAAGGTTTTATCCTTCTAATATAACCAAAAAAATAAAAAATAAAAATACGAAAACAATATAAATTTGAAAAAAAAAAAGATGTAACACATTATTAATAGACTTAAAGTGATACGTATTTTTTGAATTTAAAAAGAAACTAATAATAAAGTTTTTGAAATTAAAAAAAAATGGAAGAGATATATGTGATTTTAAATTTAGGGAGAATATTTTTGTTTTAATTATTTCTTTTTGCATATTTATAGTAAAAAAATCAATAATTTAATTTGTTTTCAAATTTATCAATATTTTCAATTAAAAATTAATTACTTGGTTAATAAATATTTTATCATATATTATTATCTTCTTATCTACCTAATATCAATCTAATACCACACCAAAGTTTAAATTCACCATTTATATAAAACATATTTTTTCATCTATTTTAATTTTAATTATTTTTTGAATGAATTTTATATATCATAGGTTAATGAAAACATTAAAATTTATTATTTTAATGCAAATAAAAAATAAAAAAATAACTATAAGTATTATATGCTATTATTGACCTATGATCTCATTTAACTTCTTAAAGAAAGTATTTTTTATAACTCTTTACTTAATTTGTACACTAAAAAATAATTTAAAGTGAAAGTTTGTTATATATTTCTTGTACACCATGAGATTATAACAATACACATTTTCATATATACATTTAGCTTTATTGACTATTATACAAAAATCAATTAATTAAAAATAAAAAATATTGAAAAATATATTACAAATATAATAATAAAAACGTAATATTTAAATTATTCATGCTTTACATAACATATAATAAATAAATAAACGAAGTCCAAAACTTCAAAATTGTTTTACAACGTACTTATATAGTTTAAATGCAAGATAAATAATATGTACATGTTTTATATAAAAAATACTTAGATTAATTTTAAATGAGATTTTATTTTTATTTTTTTTTCATTAGAATGATTCCAATAACCTTATCTCATTGAAATGAAGATAAAAATTATAAATTATTTCACATAAAAATTTTTTATAAATATGATTTTTTAAAATTTAAAATATCTTTTAAATTTTAAAAATAAAGTTATTCGATAATCAATTACAATTAAAAAACTATCCTATTTATCAATAATATAGATTATTTACATACGATTACACGTAAATTTTATCAGATAAATATATATGTTATAATATAATATTATATATGATAAGATCACCGTTCATCCTTAGTACAAAATGGATGTTAGAAGAATTTGAATGATAATAATATAAAAAAGAAGATGAGATTGAGATGATGAGTTGTTCTTTTTTCATTAAAACACGGGAGAAAAATAATATATTTCGTATTTTTGTTTAAAGGATTTATGATTTTATATTAACAAGAAATTTGACCTTGCTAATAATATATTATGCATATGAAAGTAATGCAGGAATGAATTTTGAATGAAAATTAAATAATCATTATGATTACTTAATACTATTGTATTACTTCTAGAAAAAGAAAAAAAATGCAGTAGCAAGTAAATGTTACTACTACCAAGCCACATCTGCATTTGACTTTTTATGTTTTGATCTTTAATTTGGCCAAAAAACCAGAAAATATATCGCCAACAAATGTAAAAAAAAAAAAAAAACACAAAACCTTTTTTTCTGCCTTTTTGAGCAAACAATTTTAACGTTAAAACAGGATAAAATGGTAAATTTAGAAGGGAGGAGCATTTATGCTTGTCAAAAGACTAGTGGCGATGGTACAGACAAAGAACAAGAACCAAAGGCGGAACCAAGGAGAGGCCGTGTTAAGAAGGAACCAGATGCAGAGCCCCCACCACCTTCGATTCTCGTCTATTCCCGACGTGGCACCCTTGTCATTTTGCACACGTTTTTGTCTTTCCTTACTCTTGAGCCTCTGGCTTGATTCGCTCGTCAGAATATGAATATTTTTTTATATAAAAAACAGAGCAAGTGGAAATGGTGGTCGACCAGCTTTTGCATGGACGAGAGTCGATGAAAGTCTAGATTATAAATTGCAAGAATGAAGAATCTAAACTCCCAAAAAAGTCAATAACAGACCCAAAATTCAAGGTTCAAATATATACTTGTAAAAGGCATCAAGCCAAAGCTATCTCATATTTCTTTCACAAAAGAAAGCTGCATTTATTCTTCTACGTGTTTGGTTTACTTCTTCTTTTAATATTTTTAGCAAAATATATTATACGTTTATAAAATTATTATTATTATCTCAAGCAAAACTAAGAGAGACAGAACTTAGACATGTGAAGTGTGAATCTTAAACTTTCAACTCTTCAATTCCTGGACCTAAAGGTTCAAAAACTGCCTCCACTTCCTTTTGGTCGACTTCGTCCAAGCTTGGAGGGTTCCACTTTGGATTCTGCAAAAGACATAAAAGAGCCACAACTATGAACACATAAAGTCGCGTGCTACTGCTAACGAAACTTAACATCAGCTTTTAAGTCCTGAAGGCAAGGAAGAAGGAGCATGTAGGAACGTGCACATCCGCACACAGAAATATACATGTGATGAATTCATGACCGACAGATGCATTTCAAAGATATAAATTCAACATATTTGGGAAATTATCAAGATTTTAAAGAGTGGAAGAATAAAAGAAGGGAGAAAATTTACAGATGTTAACATATGTTTTAGAAATATTAAAATATAATCCTAGAGGCAGATCTACTATCATCGAGAGAGAAAAGGAGCAGAAGCATGAAGAGCCAACCTGATCCTTGTCAATCAAGACTGCACGGACACCTTCAGCAAAATCATTTCGCAGAGAAGACCGTAAGGCAATGCGATATTCCGTTTTCATAACACCTTTTAGCTAGACATGATCAGTGTAACACAAATACAGAAGTTACTTGAAAAGTATTGCTACTAGAGAAGAAATTTACTTAGAAATGAAACAAGAGAGATAGAAAGATGCATCAGATAGGGGAAGGCAGTTGAATTATACATCTCCAACTCACCATTGTAAATTCATTGCCTTGTTTACCATATCCAGATGCAACTCTAGAGAAATAATTTTGTGTTAAGCAAAGAGAAAAGGGAGCACCCTTTCCAAGACCATGCAGAGCATCATTTGCCCACTCTACCACTGCAGAAAGAAACGATGTTAACATATTTAGATTGATAGATTTCCAGGGAGCACATTAATGATGCATATGCAGTTCATTTTACTGTTTGGATTAACCGGTTTTAATTTAGCTTACCTGAAGCTTCTGTACTTTGTTGATGCTTTTTAAGCTCCTCAATTATCTCCTTAACTGACTTATCTGCACTGAAGCATGAATTTATCTGAGGCAAAAGCAACTTCAAGTAAGCTTCAGACTCAGGGTTATTGCTGTATTTTGCCAACAGTGTTGTAACATCCTTGTGTGGATCCTCTGAACTGTGTGAAAAAATACATATCATTTACGGTTTTGCTGGAAACAAGCAGCGAATATTATGTTGCTAATAGAACAACTGCATCTCCACTTTACCAATCGCATCATTAATGATTTTACCGGAAGAAAACCTTGAATATGTGTTGCTAATAGAACTATTACAATGCAATTTGTGGAAGAATAGAAAATAAATTCAAAACTATTTTATCCAGAAATGGAAGGAAATCGCATTGCAAACTACAAGATGAAGAAGATTGAAAAGTTGAAGTTCGTATTTATGGACTCCAGCCCAACATGGAGACATCAAACGAAATTGGTCTGGAAACTAAAATTTCTTAAGGCATAGATTTCACACTTTTTCACAAAGCTGATTTGATTTGGAATATCAAGTCATGAATACTTTCCACCCATTTTAGAGACATATTTGCACGTTGTCACAATTTATATTAACGGTGAGCAAATAGAGACTAGAGAGAGAACTATAAGATCCTAAAAATACTCATTTCCACCCAAAGAGAAAGCCAAACTAGAAAGAAGATCAGAGATATACAAGGTACTGGCTAGAAGGCCTTCCTTTAGTGAACCTAGATTCCCAGATGGCACATAGTGTGTTCCAAGACCTACAAATAGCGCATCTGAAGGTGTTGATATCCTTTTTCCAGTCATTCCAAGATAAGCACCTGCAGAACTCCAAAAGTGTAAATGACATGGAGGGATGCAATATAGAGTGAGTGGAAGAGAGCAAGAGAATTAAACCGGTATTTGACTATTTGTGCAAATACTGCTTGTGTGTATTATTATATAAGTTTAGCTTTAGGAATTCAGCATCTCCAAAAAGTTTTAAAAGCCCTTACAAGATTAAATATAACCATACTACCATCCCACTTCAACCTTACTGCTTCTGGTTTAATCTCTAGCATCCTGTTACAAACCGCCTTTTGCAACTCTTAGAACTTAGGTTTAGAGTAAAAGAAACATACCAACAGAACCCCCTCCAGGAGTTTGTGCTGCTACATATGAAAACCCAACATCAGGAAACAAACCAATTCCATTTTCTGGCATAGCAAGAACAGTCCTCTAACCCAGATTTATGCAAGAGTAAAACATTAGAGAAAGAAATTGTAAAGCAATTATAATTTAAAATGCAAGACCAAATATTTCTCTGGGCAGCAAGGAGATCAGTTTGTACCTCAGTTACCACTCTGTAGCGACCATGGCCAGATAGGCCAATTCCAAAGCCCATTGTTATGCCATCCATGAAAGATATATAAGGCTTCTTGTACTCTGAAATTTTGCATATTAGAGAATACTCTGCAGTGAAGACCTGGGAAAAAATTCATCATAATAAGGCTATTAACTTCAGGTGAAAGGGTAAAATGCAAGGCACCAAGTGATGGAACAGTAATGAGAAACAACATAGCATGAAAAGATAACTACCTAATAAGAAATGATATCAGCAAACATATTATGCACATACGAGGAAATCATCCAAACTATTTGCTAGTCATTGCTGGTGCAGAACAATCAGTGGGCAGAGGTACCATGCTCATATCCTATCATGTCAACGGCTACATCTTGAACATGCAATAACTATCATTTACAAGGTAAAACAGTTCAAACATATTCTAAAAGTTCAAACTGCATATCAAACGTGCAGAACAGGTAAATTTTAAATTATACTTCTCTTGATATGAGCAAATGCTAATTTCATCTGGAAACAAATAAAGGCAAAATTATGATCTACATTATGCAAGTTTTTACATGTACAATCAAATATTTCCTTTCCTCTCTCTCTTTCTGAAAAAAGAAAAAAGATTCATATCACCTACAATTATTTGATCCCAACGATCCCCACTGTTTGTTCCCACATGGGATTTATATGGAGCTCACATAAACCACAAATTTGTGGATGGTTGAGTTTTCAGAATTGCATACAATTAGTTATAGGAGATAGGAACATAAAAAAAATGGGTGGTGGGGTTCCAAATTGAGCAGCATGAAGCAAAATGGTGTAATTTTCTTCTTCCAGAAAGAAAGAAAAGGATAGCACCTGACACTGATAGCAGCAATTATAAATGGTTTTTGGAAGGTTGGGTGTATCATAGCCATGGTGAGAGTTGTATTCTGAGTTTGGACAAACATGATAGACATCTTGTGTTGACTTGATTTTAGCAAATTACAAATGTTTATCATTATGATGGTATAAAACTTAATCTCAATCATATCTGAGTGTATTGTTGTTTGTAATCTGCATCACATCAACACGTCCATATAAGCTAAGATCAAAGTTATCAATAACAGAAGCATCAAATGCTTTAATTTAAGGAAAGAACACCACATTGAACCCAACAATAAAAGAAAAAGATATCCACATTCCCCCACCCAAAAGAAAAAAAAGAAGGAAAAAGGGAAGAAGAATAAGGCAAACAACTTATAGCTTACAACAGTGGTTATAGTAACAAAAATAATTAAGTACAGCAAGCTTGCAGGAAACATTAGAAGCACAAGGCATGCATTTACAGATGGAAGGAAGACAAAACCTTTGGTACAAGAGGTGTCTTTCTGTCCTTTTGGATTTCAGCAACAACACCTTTAATATCCATTCCTGCATTAACCATGAATGCTTAGACCCATAAACTCCCCTAACACTAGCAACATGAAAAAAAAGCCTACAAGGATATCAAAACACATTTTTCATTATAAACAGCATCTAGAAAAAATATTTAGAAGTATCTTTTCCCAGCAAAAGAAGAAGATTTAATATTTCAAGTACCTGCACAAAAGGCACGCGATGAGCTACCCTCGATCAGAACACATTTGACCTTTGGATCCGATTCCCATCCTTCAAGAATTTGTTTGTACTTGATATCCATATCTGCATTTATCAAAATGTACACACGTCTCATCAAAACACATCTACAAACTACTGATTCATATCAAATCCAACAAAAATATCACGAGATAACAAAATTACACTAGCAAATTTGTCCACTAATTCTTAACAAGTGCTAAACTTTGTGGATACAAAATAGATTCTCCTTTTACTAGGATATCTATAGAACCATTGTAAACTTCTTTAAATATATATATACAAATTATATTATCCTCTAATATTAACGCCAGCAAAGTCTTCAACAATGGCTTACTTTGCTTCCTTTACTCACAATTTTTGACAGCTGTATCCCTTCATAAAATTTTATCTTTACATTATTAAGGGTAATATTTGTAATTTCAAAATCAAGCTCATTCAATTCGAATTCACTTTCATTCCTAGCAAAGTTAATCTTTTAACTCATACAAGAACGAATTAAATTAAATAATTAAAAAAGGGGCAAATTTAAGTGTAAATGTAGGAGAAATAACGAAGGGGTACCTAAATTCATGGCGTTGAGGGCTTTGGGACGATCGAGAGTAATGACTGCTACGCCGTTGGGATAAACATTTCCCTTAACAAAATCTTCAGCGCCAGCCATGGTGGAGAAGTTTCGATCACAACTAGAGAGAGAAACGCTTCCCAGCGACGACCCCCAGGCGTCACTGCAAATAGAGAGCCGGAGGGAACGATGAGCGAGACTTGGAAAGCGAGCAGCGCCGATAACCTTCGATGTTGCGGGTTTGTTTTGGAACAAGAATAGTGAAACCTGAACTGTTTCAACTTTCAAGTGAAAGCCACATAATTTAGGAGGATCTATTTCCCGTCCTGTCCGGTTCGCCTGGAGGGGCTCTTGGTACAGTTCGACAACTTGGGCTCAGTGGCCCAATTTTTTTGAGTCCATCCAAAGTGAATACATCCTCTCAACCTTTTCTTTTAGGCTGTGTCATTGGGCCGGCCGACTTCTGGTTCAGATAGAAACCCGCTTGATGTATGAGTTAAGTTTTGGTTGACCCGATTCTTGTCTTTCTTCTATAAAAAAGGATTGGTTTAGAATTGGGTTTTATGATGGTCCATTCGGTTTGTTTCAATATTAAGGAAAAGGCCCCTAAATCTATCAGTTTCTTTCAATTATATTGGTTTATTAATTTATTTTTTATTTATTAAGAATTATTTCGTTGCTTCCACAAAAAAAAAAAAACTATTTACTTGTAATTATAAATCTAATTTGTATACATAATTACAATATCATTGCAATTTAATGAATTTTTAGCATTTTTATTTAAAATTATTTAAATTTAAATCATAATCACTGAAATTAAAATTTAATACTCTACTAATAAATCACGTAATCGTTAACAATAAATTTTTGAGCCTTTGTTTACACTTTTGTTTAACTTATAAATTTTTTATTAGTTTTATAGGTTATGATTTAAACTCGACTTGAATATTATTGAACTAAAAGGTAATTGGTATTTAATTTTATAAGAGTTTTGTTCAAAATTTTAAACCCAACATTTTAGAATGATGTTTAAACGGACAACGCGTAAACGAGGGTGCCCACTATTCTTAACTAGGGATAGAAAGAAAGGTCGAACCAGAAAAAGCATTTCAAACATAAAATATGTAATATGGAATTTTTTTTCTGCAAATTAATAAAAATCAACCACATGCAATTCAAGACAACATTCACTTGTTTCCTAAGTATATTCCTAAAAAAAATGAAGCCAAAAGGTACAATAATTAAATAACTATAATAAAAGCAAAACGAACATCGCTGATGAAAAGACTAGCTAAATATATTCTACACAAGCCAACGATCTCTCCTTTAGCCACATAATAAAGTCATCAACACACAACAGTATATCGCAAGGGCCATATTTATTTCTGACCTTATCTTCTTGTCTGATCAAATCTCAAAGCCTAAAACCCCACCCAGCACATCAAGGAACTCAAGGTGCGCAGTCAACTGTGGGAAATGCCCATCAGTTTTGACAATCTCCACAGTTGATTTCCCTTTGATCTTCTTCTGCATGTAGTAGGCAACTGAATCTGGCACGACAATGTCATTGGTGGTCTGGACAATGGTGCATGGGGTGGTAACCTTCTCAAGAATATCCCTTTCGTCGCTGCGAAACACTGTTTTTGACAAGGGGACTGCAAATTCATGGTTCATCCTCTTCAAGCATTTTGCAAAGTTTTCAACAGACTGGGGATCCTTATTGTCCACAACAAGCCTAGCAAAACTTGAAGTCCAATTCTCATAGTCGGATTCTATGTTGGAAAGAATGTTGTCAATTGCTTCTTCCTCAAATCCACCTTCGTAATCATCTATATTAATGTACCTGTGTTTATTTTGTAGCATGAGAAAAATAAACAAAGGAAAACTTGTATAAATATTAATTATGAATGTCACATAGTCCGATGGAAAAAGCAACAAGGGCACCAATTTTCATATCTTCTGCCGGCATCAACAACATATTTAATTGTACTCTATATTTAGCTATTAATTAACCAACCTTATCAGACATGTATATCCAAATTTGTAGTGGAATATGTCAAATCAAAAGAAAGTAAAAATAAATATTAGTTTTTTTTTTTTGCAAAGAGATTGATCATAATCTGAAAATAAAAAAAATTATACATATTAAATTTTAAATTTATTAAATATTATATTTTCAGATGACTTTGCATGTCGTCGTTCAATTGTCTGGGGATTAATATTCATAGTATTATTATTGAGGAAAGAAATAAGTAAATATTTTTGGAGTTGCATCGTCCACACAATTTTGAAGCACAAAAGCACAAGACAAAGAACGAAACACCATCTATCATAACTGACCCAGATCCTCCTGTCCACATATTTTGCTTAGCAGGCTTAAGCGTTTGCACATCAAATCACAGCTTTATCATTGATTTTATTCAGTCAAAAAGATAAATCTGTTCGAAAGTCTTGTATTAGTTTGCATTGGTAACGAAGAAAATACCCAAAGATGATTAAAAGAATACAATAACAGATGAAAAGAGGGATATGGAATAACCGATGGAGGGGAAAAAAAAGGAACAGTAAAGATATAGCAGAAGCAAGAAAGAGAAGCAATTTTTCTAGAATAAAAACCCTTTTTCTTCAAAAAAAAAAAAAGGAAAAAAAGAAGGAAGAAAAATACCTAGGAGAAGCTCCAACAAGTATGAGCCTGTTAAAAAGTTCAGGTCTTTTAATGGAAGCAATGCATCCGATCACACCAGACATGGAGTGGCCGACAAAGACTGAGGATTTCAAGTCAAGCTCGTCCATAAGAGCTATTAGGTCACTAGCAAAGGCATCATAGGAAGAGTATTTCAAAGGATCAAAGAGGTTAGGATCTTTTACAGCTCCTGAAAAAGTCCAGTCAAAAACGACAACCTGGTAATGCTGTGTTAAGTAAGGAAGGATTTTGTCCCAGACAGATTGGTCTCCTCCAAACCCATGTGCAAGAACCATGGTCTCACTGCCAGACCCAATTATTCTTGCATTCATGGCAGCTTGAAGACTTGTTTGTAGTATCATCATCTTTGGCATAAATTAAGCAGCAGGATATAGATTAACAGAGGTTGTTGGGAAAAAGAAAGAGGGAACTGAAGCTGATTTTTGGTGATGTCTGCTGTTGGTCTGGGCTTGCTTATATAGGAAAGAGAGAATGGTTTATCTCACTAAATATAAATTAAAGAAGAGAAAGAGATTTCAACATCTTTGGGCTTTGCCTTTTGGAGACTTTTTTAAATTACAACAATTTAAGTTGAAATTAATAAAATGAAAAGTTTTAGCTAGATTAATCAGACCATTAACAAAAGCTTTACTACTTTTTTCTTCCTACCATGATTACTAAAGCTTTACTTTTCGCATATTTTTAACAAACTTTTTGAATTCGAAATCTCTATCATATGATTCTATTAATAGATTATATGATTATTAATAATTTAAATATTAAATATTTTACCATCAACAAATCATACAACTTTTAGCAATTATATAGCATTTCTATTTCTATATAGGGTTTGAAATATTTGATACTACTTTTCAAGCTACTTCCTAAAAAGAAAACTTTCATATATAGTCTAAAAGGATATTTTGAATTGAAATATATGAATGAGATTGAGATATTGTTATGTTTACATAAGTAAACCTACAAATATAGTAATATTAATTAAGCATTAAAATAGGAGAATTTGAAGACATTAAATTGATTAGAGTGCCTACTATACCCTTCCTTCTACTTTTGTGCCTCCAAAAGGAGGTCATCCATGATTTTGTGGACTTAATTGCACATAACCAATTTGTTGCCACAACTTTCAACATTTTTGAAAAATCAAGAATATTCTAGATGATGCCAATGAAAAAAAAAAAAAAAAAAAAGAAAAAGAAACCAATCCTTGAAATTATGGTTAGATTTTTCACAAGCTTTTGTCGAGTAAAAACAAATGAGAGAAATTAAGGAGCTTTGCCTTGAGGTGTCCATTATCTATTAAAATAGGATCAATTAGCAAAACATATGATTGGGAGAGGAGGTAGTGTTCAAGTGTGCCCTCTCAAAAACAAAAGGTTGAATGAATGGTATCCAATAATTTAAAATATAATATAATATAATTTAAAATTTAAAAAATATATTTTATATTTATATAAATTTTAATATAAAATATTTCTTAAAAAATTATACGAGTTCAGAGATAAAAGGCGCCGTTTGTCTTGTAGCGGAGTTTGGATTTATTTGTTTGGATATCGAGAGTTGGAAGATAAGTCCAAGGCCTACCTTTTTCTCGCATTAAAGTTGGTGCGCCCCACCACGTTCTCCCACAGTTCTTCACAAGATTCACTTCTAACCTTACTTTTTTCTTAATTTACTTACAAGTTGCCACCTACCTACCTCCCCTTCATTCACAGATGTTCAATTTTTCTATATTTAAAGGTGTCATCAATTAGATTTTGATAATCCAAATTAATTATATTTTATTAACAAAAAATTAATCTAATTAGATTAGAATATTTTTTTTCTTTAAACAAACGAGGGTTCAGAATTTGATGCACAAATCCAATCGTCTAAGTTTGGCTTTTGCAATGATTTTAACCCCAAAAAAAAATTTTTTTTTTGCCTTGTTAAAAATAGTGGACTATTTTCAAGGTCATTGGAAAATAATGGACACATAAATTTGATAGAGTCCAGTATTTTTTTTTTTTATGATTTTGATATAGAAATCATAGAAAATAATGGACTTAATCATATTGTCTTGTTATAGGGTCATTGGAAACCCCTAAATTAATGTGGGCAATAAATATATATATACGAGAGATTGAGGAAAAAAAAATGACAAACCACCTAATTATATGGATGACAATGGAATCTCCGGTTATGAGATAAACTCCATTTTCATGGCCTTATCTACACATCAAGGTTTGGGGCTCCACCGTTGAAGGCTATTGCAATATCCTCCAAGGTATTTGTCAAATTTTATGGTGATTGTTTATGTTAAGATTCAATAAAAAATTTTAATATAAACTTGAAATTTAATTAATTAATTTACATAATTATTTTTAATAAATAATATTTAATATAATTTGAGCTCTACCCTCGAAATACGATTTTTTGTTTAAAAAAAATCTCAACGGGAATCGATCAAAACTGTACTGAAAATTGAAATGATAATAAGGGCATAATTGGGAGCAACAATAATGGGGAAATCATGATGATGCAATAATGAGGAAAGCAAAAAAGATAAAAGTAGTTGGTGCAGTTGGACCGGAACTTTTCACATATAAGTAGACATGTTGGCATTAAGTCTTGGTGAAAAGTCCCTTTGCGTGGAATGGCGAAAATGATGGATAAGGAGATCGAGATTAAAAATAATAATAATAAATATTATAATTATGATTAAAATTTTATGTTAATTTAATTTTATAAAAATTAATATTTAAATTTAATTAATAGTACGATAAACTTAATCATATCATATCCATAGGTATAATGAAATTTAAACGAAAATTAAGATTAAGTTTGATTCTAAATATCTATCGTTAATTCATTGTACCATCAATTGAATATAAATATTAATTTTAATAAAAATTATTTATTATAAATTGTTTATTAAAATTTTTTCATTGTAATGATAATAAAATTTTAAATAATAATAATAATAATTATTATTATTATTAATTTTATTAAAATTAATTTCATTGTCCGTACAAATAGAACCTAAATACTCCTTGTGTGAACTGGTTCAGACGAAGGAGACCTCACTTTAAGCTTTACTCCTTTTGCTTCGTAGTGACAAGAGATTCTTTATCATTTTTGGCTGTTAATTAACAAAACAGGGAGAAATGGAAAATTATTAATATTCAAATAAGGAAGAAAATGCCATCTACGAGGCTTTAAATCTTGTTGTCAAAGGACATATTAATTGAGGTTTTGAGACACGTTAAATAAAAAAAAAATTATTTATACACAGTCAATTAAGTTTTTAAATTTCATAAAAAAAATTATCACATATTTTTTAAAATATTATAAAAATAAAAAGTGATATAATAAAAAAATGTTAGTTTAACATCATTCGTAAAATTAAAAAATTTTATTGGTGATGTATAAAAATTAACTATTAAACACGTATAGGCATATTAATTTTTTATTTGTTTGTTAATTTAAAATTTTCATTGCTAATGTATAAAAAATAACTCTTAAGCATGTGTAAGCATATAAATTTTTTTTTGTTAATTTGGAATACTACAAGTAATATGATCCAAATTTACTTTAAAAAATTAATAACATGAGAAGAATAACCTATAATGATATTTCTCTAGGCAAAAAACTAACAAATTTAGAATAGAATAGAATAGAATACCCTAAATTAAGGGTAAAAGGTACCTTCAATCTTGTGTGTAGGAGTATAATTACAAGGAAAAACAAATAAAAATGTAAAAAAAAAAAGTGATATTCAGAATACATGTAAATAAGAAGATTTTCCTTTCATTAGAACGAGATATATATATAATTTTATTAATTTCGATAATAAATTTGTGAATTTATATTTCATATACTGTCAATATATAAATATTTTATATTGTCAATAAATTAAATAATGCTATTTTATTAATGAAATGAATAAAATGATATCACTTCATTAATGAGTAAAATTTTTAAAAAATATTAATTTTTATATATTTATTTTAAGAGCTGATGTTTATTCATTAATAAGATAATATCATTTGATTTACTGACAATCTGTACGTCGATAATATATTAAATATAAACTCTAAATTTATATTTAAAACTAAGAGTGTCTTTTACTCCTTGAAACCAAAGTCTTAAATTTGCGTGTGAAAATAAGTTTTTTTTTTTTTTTAAGAACTATACTCCAACAAAACATGCCAAAGAAACAAAACCGGGGCATTTTGTCACCTTAAAAGGACAACAAAAGAGAAGAAATTAGGGTGTTTTGCACGCAGAAGCTCTGACATGAGGGAACATACATTGTCTCCACTGGCAATCAAAATCGTCAAACAAGAGTAGTTTGATTATCAAAAGCACATGTCTCCTCCTATATCAAATTGAATGACTTTGATACTTCATATTTTTTACTTTTAATGTTAAGGAAAAGGATATGCTAGCCTACTCATAGTTTAAAAAAAATGTAAAAATTCAAAGATTTAGAAAGAAAAAAAATTGGATTCTTGGACATTCTGCTAGCTTATCTATCCTTCAAATCAGCTTAGGTGAAAGGGTACATCATCATAGACTTTGGTCTAATAATCATACAAACAAGATAATTGGCCTAGAGCCTAATCTTTCTTTCTATGTGTTACTACATGCGTGTGTGCGTGCATACATGTGCAGCTCTAGCCTTTTGTCCATATAACATTTAGGTTTTAATGAATCAAACTATGTTACTATCTTGCAAATTTAAAATTGAGTTTCATAAGAATTAATCTAATTGGTAAAAAACAAAATTCATTCTTTGATCGATCAAGATCTCATACTTATAAAAATATTTCGAGAATAAACACTAAATGCATTTAATAAATATAAGGAGTGCATCTTTAAAATTATAAAAAAAAAAATCAAACACAAACAAAATTTAAAGATGTCTCTATTCATATTATATAAAAAAAAAATTTTGGTGAAAACTTTTTCCTCATCACTTTTACGTAAAACATGTATCATAATGATACAAACATGCATGCGCATGGTGGCATGAAAAAGCATGCAATTTCGAGAGATTCGTTTCCCACATGCAATGATTTAGACCAAGTAACCATCGGTCTACTTGACGTTTTTTTTTTTTTTCCTATTCAAAAAAGTTACCCGTGATTTGTTCCTTTTATTTGTTGACAAAAAAAGTCTTTTCCTTCCTAATTAATTCGGAGAAACCAAGGTTTTCAACATTTTTTCAATTAAATTTAAAAAAAAAACCGAATTTTATTATATAGTATCATGTCATTAGAAAATAAAGTATAAATCAATATATTTGATACTACTAAAAAATATAAATTAATATATAAATTTTTTTTTAGTGAAGCAATAATTTAGTATAAATCGAAATAT